CATCTATTGGGGCTTTTATCTTAGTAATAATTAATTTATAAAGAAGTTTCACTTCTGACATGTGTACTTTGTACGCACGCACTTATTGTTATTTAATTACCTACTAACATTTCGTTGTATTAACATAATAAAAACATTAAACATAATTAAATGAAAAGGAGGGCAACAGGCGGCCTTATCGCTTTCAAGCGATGTCTTCCACGCAACTACTGTGAAAAAAATGTAATAAACGAGATACGGTAAGGAAGAAGTGCAAAAGTTCATAATACATAATATATAGATATTAAGACAAAGCTAAACAGGAACACAAAAAACTAAACTAACAAAGGATACATGAAAAATAAATTTATTTCGTATATTGTAAGGCTAAGTAATAGATTTGACACGTCATAACAGAAAATATAATTTATTTCTAGCGTGACAAAAACCAAATGGTTAGCTTCGTTTGCGTCAATATCACGGGAGCTGATTTGAACACAACGCAGGTGGCCTTTGCGAGTCTCTTTCATCAGGTTTCAGTTGACTTACAAACTCCATACGATGAGGACGTCGCAGTACACATTTTAGCATTAGAACATGGCTATTAAAAATAACTAATATTTTATTCATACCTTTAAAAAATTATATTTTTAAAAGCAAAATCACCTTAAAATGAAATACCAAATACCTTGTTTATTTTTACATGAAAATATATATCACTACATAAACAAGGAACTCATTTTTATTCAATTTTAATTGTCATATTTTTAAAGTACTTACCGAAACTTCGGGAAGTAAAAATGTATTATATACTACTTACATATTATTATATATTTTATTAAATAACATCATTAAGAGAAGCGATTTATAACTGGTTCTCATGACTTCAGTAAGTTTAATATTTTAGTCCAAACTTACTATGCACATTCATTATAAAATACCTTTGTACATAAAATTAATAGCTTTCCTTCGGGGGCTGAATAATCAGCATTGAGCAGGCAATTTGACGAAAACTGACTTGTAGACTAGTCAGTCAATTTGAAAAAATCTACGATGCTACTACAATTAAGTATATCAATTATAATTAAAACACAATTTATTAATGGAAGGATACAAAAAATGTAGTTTTGGAATTAAAAAATAGATTTATTCGTTTTGATAGGCTAACAATATATTGGGTATAGTTGAGATTTATTTAAATATTCATTGGACACTTCTGAACACCTAAACTGTTAACAATCGTATCCCATTAATCTGAATTTGTTATTATTTCGACACAAGTGAACTTAGAGTTAATAATTACGTGCCGTAGGTGTTTTTTTAATCCCACCGAGCTGCCGTTTTAAAATGTCTTCTAAATGAATGCAATTGTGTTAAATTTATCTCAATTTGTTTGTATATAGAATTCAAAAGGTAAATGTAAATGGAGCTATATCACAGGGATCGTCTGTTACCATGGGTGTACCGCAAGGCTCCATACTTGGCCCCTTCTTATTCCTCGTCTATATAAATGACCTACCATTTCTTGTGAAAGAGCTTCACGAGATAGTACTGTTTGCTGATGACACTTTGCTTTTATTTAAAGTGAAACGACGAAATCCATCACTTGAGAATGTTAACAGTGCCATCTCATGGTCATCACTGGTTTAATACAAATAATCTTAAGCTAAACGAAAAGAAGACAAAATGTATTAAATTTGTAACTGCAAATGTTAAAAGTAGTCATTCTCAAATAATAATTAAAGATGAGGAAATAGACTTTGTTGATAAGCTGTGTTCTTGGGAATTACTTTAGATAGTAACCTCCATTGGGGCCGACACATACACGATCTTTCGAATAGGTTACGTTCTGCAGCGTTCGCAGTGAAAAAGATACGCGATCTTACGCATGAGAATACATAATATAGCAAAGCTCGTTTATTTCAGCTATTTTCATAGTATCATCACTTATTGCGTTATTTTGTGGGGTAATGAAGCTGACATTAAATCGATATTTGTAGTGCAAAAGCGGGCTATAAGAGCGATCTGTGGGTTGTCCCCACGGGATTCAGTCCAAAGGAAGTTTATTCTTATAAATGTATTGACTCGCCAAAGAATATTTTGTATGTGCAGAAAAATATAGATATATTTAAAAAGAATAGTAGCTTCCATAATTATAGTACTCGTAATAAAGACAAAATTAGCGCACCAACCACAAGGCTGCATAAAACGAGTAATCTTTCCAAGGCAATTGCATACGTATTTTCAACTAAATCCCTAGTGAGATACAAGTGTTGTCAATAATAAATTTAAATCGTACATTAAAGTAAAACTGCTTGCTAAGGCCTATTTTAGATAAATGAATATTTAAACGATTCTAGTGCTTGGATATGAATTGCTTCAGTATAAATAGGTAACGCGACTGAATCTCTCGGCTGCATTTCCAGACTCTAAGTTTGGGGCGATCGTCAACATCAACGACTGTTTTAATGTAAAGTGGGAACAAACCGTGATCCATGTGGTATCAAATTATTTCAGTATAAGTAGTATTATTATTATTTTCTTATGTAGCCAAGTTCACATTTCAAAAATCGTCATGCTCGCTTAAATGTTATTGCTTGTGGCGGCGTCCATGCGTCGGGTTGTCTCTCTCTCTAAAATATGGCGAGGGGGCCGATGGCTGGCCATGCGTCATACTCGTGAACGGGTGCTACAAGTAGCGGCACGAAACTCTAGCGCTGACCGTTATTGCGCAGAAGTAAAAAATAAGGTACCTGAATGCTATGGGCTAGCGGAATTAAGAGCGGGCGCGCGTAGCGTCGATTGGCTCTCCAGTCGCATTCCGTCCCCCGCACCGATACGACGCCCCGCGCACGTAACGTGTACAGTCGCGTCATTAATATTATTGTTACTGTTGTTACGTTTTGCTGTTTTTGGTTACGTTTGAATTTGTTAGTGTTTTGTTGTTTGTTATTTTTTTTTTAAGTTTGTTTGTGACATTAAAGTGAATATGCCTAGAACAAATACTGTTTTGAAAAGACAAGCCAGGAAAATGGTTTATGACGTGAATTGTTTTTTAAAAAGGGAATCTAACGAATTAATTGATTCTTTGAAACAAATCCAAAGTGAGATTTACGAAGCTACAAATACTTTGTTCAGCCATTCGGACAGCAACATTGTAAATTTGAGCCAGATAAAACAAACTGCCGAAATCATTAAGGCAGGAAACATAAAATTTAATAGTATAATCAGTGAATTAGGTAAAATCCAAAAAAAGGACAGCAGAGTCAACAACCTCTGAGTCTACCCAACGTTATGGAAGACATCCCGCGTGACCCCAATTCCTAAAGCTGATTGTAGAAGCAGAGCTGAAAACTACAGGCCTATCGCGATTCTGTGTACGCTGGCGAAGGTGTTTGAAATGTCCTTACACTCGTTAATGTTGCCTAAATGCATTCCCCACATCACTCCTTGCCAGCACGCCTTTCTTCCACGCAGATCAGTTAATACTAATCTATTGACTTTGGCTGACATAGTATTGCGTGAAATTGATAGGCGGTGTCAGGTGGATGTAGTATATTTGGATTTTCACAAAGCGTTTGATCGAGTAGACAACGACATTCTTCTCCAAAAGTTGGCCGCAATTGGGTGTGGCAGGTCCACAGGTTCTGCTTAAGTTTTTTTCTAGTTACCTATCAAATCGTAACCAATATGTTAAATATGCACAATATATCTCGCAGCCTTATACAACAATTTCTGGTATTAGCCAGGGTTCAAACCTGGGACCGCTGCTATTTTTAATAATGATTAACGACCTTCCAAGCGTTATCAAATATTCCAAAGTACTATTATTTGCTGACGACGTTAAGGTCTTTAAAATAGTTCAGACTGACAATGATCGTCTGTGTATGCAACTTGATTTGGATGAACTGCTGCATTGGAGTGAATTAAATAAACTCCAATTCAACTATGACAAATGTGAAGTGATGACCTTTAGTGCCTCTCCGAATAAAATACTCTGCGACTATAGCATAGGATCGAAAGTTATTAGGCGCGTAGACAGAGTCCGCGACTTGGGTGTCCTGTTTGTGCCCGATCTTTCATTTGCGGAGCATATTCGGACGATTACGGATGCTGCTTTTAGGAGGTTAGGGTTTGTCCTGAGAAATTCGGTTGGTCTGACGGACACTGCCACTAGGGTGCTATATTCATCATTAGTAAGGCCAATTCTCGAAACCAGCTGCGTCATATGGTCCCCCTATGAAAGGTATTATGGGGATATGATTGAACGAGTGCAAAAGAAGTTCCTGAGAAATCTGTATAAAAGAAGATACAATTTCTTTCCTTACCTCTACCCTACTAAGTTCTTGATGGGTATAATTCATTAGAGCTTCGTAGGGATTTTTCGGTGGTCAGATTTGGTTTGAGTGTAATTAAGAATGAAACGGAAAGCGCATACTTGCTGGGAGAGATCATGAGGCTATACGTTCCGGACAAATAATGCCGCTGCCGGAAACATAACCTTTTCGCTGTGCGTTCGGCTCGCACTGTCCAGCGACAACAAGCGCCCATTCCCCGGTTACTCTCACTGCTTAATGGGTTTCTCGACTCTTCACCGGAGAGCGACCTGTTTGGGAAGCTTATGGGGGTGGTATACTGTGGTTTCAGAGTGTACCTGGAGGGGATAAGAGGGTAATGCTACCCTGTACTGTAAATTTTGTAAATCTTAATTGTTTTTAGTCTAAGTTTGGCCATTGAGCTGTTAATAAATAAATAAATAAACAAATAAATATTTTATTACTTATTCTATTATAATACTTCTCTATAGATATGTTTATTAGTACAACACTATTAACCGGTTCTCTTCGTAAATTGAACATTCCAGTTGGAACTTGAACAATAATCATGCTGATATAAATTATAAAGTACATGAAATTAATAGTTTTTCCTCTGGCACTGAATCATCAGCACCAATGATTGGGGTCTCTCAAAACACGATAGTTTAAACTTAACATTTTAATAATTCATAGTTGATGTATAATTTAAAACTCATTTACAATGGGAATTTCTATATTTTCCAAGAAGAACAATGAACCATCATCAAGCGAGACATTCATTGGGTCTTCATGGTCTGTTTCATCTGAATTAAGTTCTATACATAAAGGACTACTTCTATCACTAACTGTGAAGGTATTTTCAGATAAATTTTCTATTTCTTCAATATTTTCTACACTATCTTCCAAATTTGATAGTTTTAATTCATTGATAATAGGTTTAATTTCATTTTTTGATTTGTTATCAACATCAGTTTTCATTGTCTCTGCATTTTCACTAACTTCATTATTTTCTTTTAATTCATTATTATTTATATTAAATTCATTAATTCTTATTCTGTCACAGACATTTAAATTTTTATGCTTTTTATTTTTAATATTACCTAACAAAGTTTCTAAGTTTTTAGATTTATTAACATATTTCACATCGTTTTTGATATTTTTATGAACACTTGTATTGGTTTCCTCGATTAAATTTTCCTTAATGTTGTTCATGACATTTTTTAAATGTTTCTGGTCATCTTCCACATTTAGTTTTTCTTTCTTGTCATCTTCCACATTTAGTTTTTCTTTCTTGACTATGTACTCAACTGATATTGGATCTGGAATCAAGTAAAAGATATTTAGCAACAATTTAGTAACAAAAAATAAATCAGTGGTGTGACAACCTCTTTAGGTAGGGCCTCAGATTTCTGAATCTGTTCCATGATCATTTGTCAATGTAATAGGCAAGTAGGTGATCAGCCTCCTGTGCCTAACACAGCCATCGACTTTTTGGGTGTAAGACATGTCAGTTTCATACCTTCAATATTTAAGTGAATGTTAAAGGCGTACATAGAAAGAAAGTCCATCGATGCACAGCCAGGGATCGAACGTACAAACCTCAGATAAGCCACTAGGCTAACACTGCAAAAATTTAGTAAATAATTGTAATATTTTTGAAATACCTCCATCTCTATACAGCAATACAATCAACTAGGTGAGAAGTTTACTGTACATTGAGTAAAATGACAGCAAACAAGTAAGAGAGTTGCATATAGTATGAATTACCTTTAAACCAAACTTTTTCCAACTACCGTTTGCTGTAGTCGTAGTAGAAATCTCAACAATAGGGCAGTAATATGATATTGTCTTAAAAGATCAATAAAATCAATTGTATACCTTCAGAATATCCAGGTGGTGGATCTTCCCACCAAACTGGGCTGGGACAAGTCAGTATTTCAAGAAAATCATCATCACACATTTCTTGTGTCCCATCCATGAGACTTATTAATTCAAATACTGATTTTTCAATGTCCCTGGGTGGGGTACTCGTAGCTTTGAAACTTGCTTGTGGGAAATCTGAAATTGAACTTATAAATATATACCTGCAACTTCAAATGCAAATATTTTACCTTTCTTTTTCTGAACGTACGTAACAAAATTTTGTGGCTGAAAGATGATTTTCATCAGCAACACAGTATAAGTTTTAAAGATGGGTCAAATTGCTTTAAGACAGGTTCTATTCTAGGAATTGTTATAAAGTAGCTATAAACCCGAGTAAGGCGCCCTTTTTATTAGGGAATCAATCAAATAATGTTTCCAGATTAAGTATTAGTATCAGAATACTATATCTGATCTTGCCATATTATAGAAGCAAGAATTCCCTTCAGTTCTTTAAAATAATTTATGAATTAACTGGTGATCAACCAAAATGTAAAGCAGTTTAGAATAATATTGCAAACCTTTCTTAGGGACATTCCGTTTTCGTTTATTACATTTAGTCATATCTGCTATGACTATTTGATTATGATTCGGGGTTAGCTTCACCCTCTTAAGCTCAATTTTTCTCTTCACTTTATCTGGTTGAAATTCTTTACATTGAACTTTATCCACTGTTATTTTTCGTTTTCCGTTTTTAAGTCTCAATGATTCATTTACAGGACACAACTTTACTTTTTTTTGGGTTTTGTTTTGTTTCAACTGTGCCAATTTGCTTCTTGTCAAAACTGCTTCAGCTGGCATTGCTCTAGGTGTTTTAGATTTTATTTTAAGAGACATCTTTTATCTGAAAAGTTTGAATATATATTTAAATAGACATAAAATGAAATAAACTGTATTCTTAATATTAACTGTATGCTAATAAAAAACAAAAATATTAACAGATTAACACAGCTTACTTTTTGCTTAACGATATGATGTTGTTGCGAAGATTAGGCCAAGGCATATTTAGTTGCAAGCAATTAGGCAAATATCCCTTATTATAGTTCAGACTGAACATATTTTGAAAATGATTATATTTGTGAACTCTTTATTAACACAGTATATGAAAACAATGTTCACTTCTTAATCTTTAAACTGAAATTACGAACTTTTGATTAAATCAACTTCTTCTCCCTTGACCTCTTTTATATTTAGATTTAATTAAATATACCTATTGTAAAACTAAAGTGTAATCGAACTTCGAAGACTTGAATAAGTTTCGTTAGACGATCAGTAGAGGGCGTTGTCGAATGTCGCTGCGTGTACAATAATAAAATTTATATTTAATCTCCTTTGTAATTTTGATTTATATATCAACCATCATAAAGATATAAATCAATTGTAAAATTAATTAATATTTAAAATGAAACAAACTCTGCTAGACATATCAAGCTCAAGTTGAGAGAAGAATACAATGTTATGATTACGCACATACATTTCACAGTGGAAGTGGATTCTTAGTTTAAAAAGAAATAGTGAAGGCTCTTCAAAAAATGATTATTAGTTTAAAATTTTCCCTTACCTCGTAAAACGGGCTATTTGAGATTAATGGAGCAGAAACAGGACCTGCAGCAATGAAATATTGATAAACGCTTGCTACTTGAACATGTACTTCACTTGTAATTAATACTTTCATAGAATATAATCGTTAAACTAATTGCGGTAGGAAATATTCGTAAGATTTTGACTTCTTGTTTAGTCGGTAAATAAGCATATTATGTATACAGTATAAATCTATAGAATTTCTTAAATGAGAATACTTCTCGATTAATCGTGTTCTGTGCAAAAGCGTAGAACAGATTAGGTATAGAGGTATTTTTATGTAGTAAAACATACCAACAATGAACCCAAACTTTACCATAGTAGTAAAAAGGAACATAATCGCAAGCGAGACCCACTACTGCAAAGGAATTGATTGGAATATAAGAATGGCTAGCTCACGCTTGGTCTTGCAAAACGCTATTTGGTTTCGCATTAGTGTATAACACTTACACCTGTCGCAAAATGTATTTATCTTAGGGATGCTCGATGACCGATGTTGAAAGCAAAAACATCGATGTTGCTATATCAAAAATATCGTCGTTACATCGATGTTAACTGAATCGAACATCGATGTTAAATCACGGCCTCCCGCACGACCAATGCAACTTAAGAATCAAATTATGTCTTCTTTGAACGTATTCACAAATCAGGTTTATTAAATTTTTGAACGCGTATTAATTCTATGCGCCCAGGTTCCCGTTCCCTTCATTCGTTCTTCGTAGTCTCGCTCGCTCTTTCTCTCTCACACTTCCTCACTACTCTTTATCAATAAAGAAATATATTAAAAGGTTCATCTTTATCAAAATTACTTTTCATGCAACGGGTAACACAACAATGAATGAGTCTTTGTTAATCAAGTTTTATATTGTTTTTACATTAATTATCTTTGATGATACTCAAAAACTTAGCGCGAACTGTCAATAACAACACATTTTTAATATAAACAAATACCGAGCATACTTAAAATATTTGAATTCCAATAATAAACGATATTATATACCAATTTTTTTTATGAGTTATGCCGAAAAGAGAAATGTATTGTATTGTTGTCTATATAGAAATATCATGCTTTCCAAATCGGCCACGACATTCCTCGCTATATATAATATTGACTGTTTCTATGTCTGCATCCGTTAGTACTGTTTTATGACCCATAGACATTGTACGTTGCCACAGATGGTCCTGAAACAAGTAGCCACACCTTATTATAAAACAAGTGACACCAAAGAAAGTTCCGCTGCAACCTTTGTTTGACCTCAGATATATTTCCTTGTTATTTTTTTATAGATGATCTGACAGCTCTGTCTGACAGACGTCATTGATGTCTGGTTACACCTCGCACGACCTTTACGATTATTTCTCCAGGACTTTCCATTCAATTTGTTGATATAACAACGTACGAGTCACGGTTCAGATTCTCTTATAATAGAATAATAGTTTTTTAGACAATGGTGGTTCAATACAATTCGGAATCCAGTTCGATTTCCATTGAATAAAATCACTCAGTTCCATGGAGCATGAGACACAACTATAACAATTTGTTTATCGACCTATATTAGGCTGAAAAGTTCGTATGCTAACATAGAAAACCACTTTTTTATAGAATTTGATTTGATTATCCAATATTCGCCTTCGACCTCTTCATGAGCGCAAAATTTCTGTCTAGCGAGCATTCTCTTGAGGTCTAGTAAAACTAATCTAGTAAATGATTGTTTAATTACGTCATATTCTGGCTTCCGTCGATTAAATAGCACTTCTATTATCGTTGGACCTACCTGTATCGGCTGCACAGTCGTAGCACCTAATTCACATGTATTACACATATAATTCGCTGGTGCGTGGGTAACACTATCAAAGTCGTAAGGTATATGTGCCAACCAGGACCCTTCGGGGGCTTTCTCAAGATAATGCTCTTTACCTTGAAGATACAATTTTAATTAACCTCTGATGACCAAAATGTTATGATTTTTGAAGTTATACTTCTTTTGGCGCGTAAGGGAAAAATGATGAGTAAAATTTTACGATGCGCACGCACACCGTCACAAAAAACCGACACCCTGAAGTTAGCTTTACTCAACATGTTAGTTTTTTTTTGTAATATTAAAATAAACTTTATTTAACTGGATAACGTGTTATAATAAAACTTTCAATGTTTTTTTCTATTGTTAATGTCGTTTCTACAAACGTAGAATAAATTTTTTGAAAAGTTTTTATCTTGTTACGCCAAAGAACATGTGTACATAAGTACACACACGTTTTAAATTAATTCTTCTATGTAATAGGGGCCAACGGGCAGGAAGGCCATCTGATGCTAAGTGATACCGCCGCTTATGGATGCTCATATTGCCAGAGGGCCGAGTTGACGGCCTTTTAAGAATTGGTACACTCTTTTCTTGTTAGATCCTAAGTCGAATTGGCTTGGAAATACTTCAGTGGGCAGCTGGTTCCACATAGTGGAGGTGTGCGGTAAAAACCTTGTTATCTAAACATAGCTTTAATGTGTTTTATGAAATAGTTAACCGTCCGGCAATACGGTATTTTCAACCATGGAAATCTTGAACTACTATCTATACGTCGCAGCCAACTAGCTTAATAAGCCGTTTAATTTAACAGCATAGCCTTTTATGTAAACAGCGCCGTTTAACTAGCGGCCTGAAAGATATTTAGCCGTAGCACTTTTAACAACATTTAAGAAACTGGCTAGCTAATGCTTAGGCCATTCGTACGATAGAGTGATCATGTGTCAGAAATAAATAGATGAAACATCTGACAGAAAAAATATTTCTTTACAAATTAAATTGCTTGAGTCTGTAGCTAAATTCATATTATTATTGTCTACACTCTTCCATTGTACTTGTTGATTTTCATTAAACTTTGGAAAACAATGTTTGAAGAGTTTCGTTTCGAGTTTGAGAGTGGCAGAAAGTGGAACTAAATTTTAATTAACAGTCAACAGACTAGGCAAGTAATAAAACGTCATCGATCTAAGTCATAGTTAAGAGGCTTAAAATTGAACGGCTAACTAAACTAGTTGGCTTCGACATTTATATAATAATCACTACTATAATTACAATACCCATTTCTACTTTATTCCAATTAATAGTAACATAGTTATCTCGATCATAACGATTTGAGGTCATATGTACAGCAAGAATCCTCATCAAATTGTTAATAGTATGCCCCTTGTGACCCGGTACACCGTTCACAATAGAAGATAATTTTAGTGTCTGAAATCAAATAAATATTTATTATTAACAATACAATCAAATGGCTATAGAAATGGGTAGATTGAGAATGATGTTATATGGAGTTGACACTTGACATGTCGAGATCTCTTTTTTTCAAGGGTTTTGTAGCCAAGGCTGTACATTTTGCTCACTCCGGCTTTCTTAGTTTTATAAGCGATTTCCTAAATCATTGGAGTTTCGCCCCGAGTGTATAGCCAGACATAGGCACTCTCTTCGATTTGTTAATTGCATTCATTTGTAACATAGCAATTAACATTTCATTATTTCGCATATATTCTGTTGTTGTACGCGAGTGGTTAGTATAGAGTTCAACTAAAATCCTCTATTATTCATCAAAATACAACAAGTCCCGAAAATGCCTGAAAACGCGTTTCTAATATTACTTGACTACACTTGCACTGGAACAGCCAGAAAAAATGTTTCAGCCTCCTGAAAACGACGGTAGCCTGTAGAAAATACGAGAAACATTCTCCCCCATCTTCGTAACAATATGTTGTATTTGACAGTATGAAAAATTAAGTGTTATTGAGAATAATCCGTAAATAAGCGGCTTTAAAATGCGTTAAATAATTTGTAATTAAAAAAAAGTATAAAATAAACATTAATTTCTTGATATTACATGAATGATAAGTGACGTAAGTCACGCGACACAAAATGATCACAGATTAGTCAAACCGACGCTAACGTAGCATGCTTCTAAATAATGTGTTCGTCTGTCTAACACTAATACTGTCTAAAAGTTTCGTGTCGGAGACTGTTTATATCTTATATTTATGTAAAAAAAATTATATATAACACGTAAAGCTTGACGTTGGCAACTAAAAAACCTTTTAAAAGGAAATTACCAGGTTTCCCTCTCCAAATCCAAACAATGGAATATCTTGCCCACGTTTGCCGAACCATACAAAGTTTTTAGGTGACAGATCATCATCGTGACTTATTTCTTGGAATACGACACACGTTGACAACTCTATGGAAGCCATAGAGAATGATAGAACGTTGTGATCAACTGTGCCACCTAGAAAAAAATTAAAATAATAGCTAGCCGTGCGTTACAGAGCCAGTGGAGTGGAATTAATTATGGGAAATAGTATGTACTCATATAACACGTTAAGGTATTTCGGACCAAAAAGTCAGTAAACTTATAATGAACGTAATTGGCTATTTGGTAGTAAGTATCAAAAATAAAGTGTAAGAATATATAGAATAAATATATAAAGAAAGCAATCTTTATTATATAATATGACTCTTGACGCGACGCGACGACTCAAGCGTGACGGAGTCAAATCATTAATTATTTTAAAATCCATAACTATTTATGACGTGATAACGCTTTATAAGTTCGCCAGAGCCGAGCGTGCAAGCGAGAGCGCGAAACAAGCGATAGAGAGGCATTGGTTGTCAGTCGGTTAGTAAACACGAACGGTTCTGTTCATGGGTTGGGTGTTGAATACCACCGCACTTTTTTGACGATACTAATTATTTAGCAGTCTCGGGGGACCTTCATTGGAACACCTCCAAGTGAGTTTTGCTGCGGAAACGCGTCTAAATATTTTTTTGTAAAAAAGTTTTGTGTAATGTATTGAAATTTGTAAACAATCCGCCATTTTCTACTTTTCTATTGGTTATAAGTGATGTGACGTTCACTTTAAAAAATCGTGTTTTTAATTTATCGATTGTTTATAATCGTTTTTTTTATCGATTATTTTCTCATTTTTGAAATTTAAAGTTATAGAATAATCAACATTGAAATTAACCTAATTTCGTGTTGATAGATTATAGGGTTCCGAAAATTTTGAAATGATCGATACCTACTCGTCTGTATTTCCTAATTAGTACTTGTATTTCATTGTTTGCAACTTTCTGTATTATTTAATTTTTACTAGAATAAAGTGTTTACTTTAATATCCAAAAAGTACCCAAAACCGAATCAGAGCACCCCACTATCCACGTGGTCTTGTCTGCCTTACCCCTAGAGTGTATATAAATAATCGGAGGCGCGGAGGAAGAGCAGCCGGCTTTGCCTGTGCTTTGGTACGCAAGGGTGGAGGGGCTGCATTTCCCGTAGCGCCGGAGCTGTCCAAAAACCAATAATTATTTAGATCGGTTAGGTTAGTATATAAATATTTATTTTTAAAATAACTGTTCAACTGAAACTGATCAACTATGATTGATTTTCAATTATTTTGAATATTAAAATCGAATACAAAAAATCGATTTTCACTTTGAAAGAAATCGACTATTTTTTAACATCCCTATTAATTTTATAAACGTAAACGGATTTTAAATGTGGATTTTGCTAGACTAGTGTGTAAACAGTTTTACAGTACAAAATTTCCTTTAGAAATCCGTTTCTTTTTTATTTTCACGTGAATGTTTTAGTCGCGTTTCCGCAGCAAAACTCACTTGGAGGTGTTCCAATGAAGGTCCCCCGAGACTCCTAAATAATAAGTATCGTCAAAAAAGTGCGGTGGTTTTCAACACTGTTACCTCGTTATCACGTCAAATTATCGTCTGTAAACCAGTTTTACAGAAAACCAAACTTTTTTATACATATGTCACGTGACAAAACGGTCAGGATTAGGCGAATCGACGGTGACGCAGAATGCTTGTAAATGTTTGTTTGTCTGCCTTATCCTAATATTGTTGTGAAATTTATTATCAATGGGCCCTGTTTTGTCAAAATAAAAAGTATTTTAAAGTGAAACTTTTATTACATCGTCTCAAACTTTTTCGTCTGTGTGTTGCATATGGCGTGACGGTCGGCCGCGGAGTAGGGATAAAGTGAAAGGCGCTTGTCATAGCAGCCAAGGCCAATATGGCGGTGCCTATTATAGTTCACAGCAGCTGACCGTGTAGTGTATAGACTACTCGTATTATTTAATATGTGTATATTATTTTAATAATTGCTATTAATATGTGTATATAATCTAAATAATTTTTAAGTATTAAGTATATATTTCGTACTCTCTAAGACACAGAGTTCAATAAAAATATTACTTGGAGACTTAGTCTACTTTTATTATTTCCCATTATCAGATTGATAAATCAATTTTAATACCCTTAATGGAATATTATATCAAATTTTTTTAGTTAAATGTCTATAATGTGAAAATAAGTTTCACTTTTACCGTGGTTTCATAAAACCACACAATCCTTTTGCATAAAGTTGTCCGATTTTATGCCCCTAAATATGATACTGCTAAGAACTCGTTAGCTTCCAATAGGGATCTCCACTATAATTCCGCGGCTCCTAAATACCCTCCCAAGGTTGCATCGCTTTTGGACGTTACAGAGTACCACTGTGATAACGTTTTGACAGTACAATTCATGTCAAAACATTTGGCGCGTCAATGATTTCGTAACTGTTAGCAAACTTTCAACTAATATTCGTCTCTTTCTATCGAGTGGGATACGCTGTGATGAAAAGAGAGAAGAGTACTTTAAAGCGGCGCATTTATTAAAAATATAAAACACTTACGTAAATCCTCTTCTATTCCATACATAACGATACCCAGCGGCCATACTTTGCCCTTATAATAATTCAGATTCTCTTCTGTCAATTTAGATGTAACACCGCTTCGTCTTTTAGGCGTTTTTGATTCACCACATTCTTCATAGTAATGTGTGTTTATATAATTGCGATCTATTGTCGACATAAGAGATTTTCTGTTTGATTCCTGAATAAAAGACGAACATTTGTGTCAAAAAACTTGTGCTGCTCTTTCTCCCAACCGGGAGGATCCTCGACCAGTCTTGGGATTTTTCCTACGACTAGCACTAGGGGTGGTCAACCACCTGAAGGGTAGGGCGGAAGCTCACTGGAGCGAAGTAAGGGATCTCGCTTTACTTGTTGAAAGCAGTTTCTTACTCTAATTTTTTTACTATCTCTACGCTTTGTTGCGCGGGCGGCTTCTGACTTTACATTGGCTAACGTGATGGGATCATATGGATCTAATAAAATGTGTCGGAGACTCCCACGGGCTCATGTATTATTTTTGCTTAAATTAAACAGTTTTGTTCGGTACATACAATTTGAGTAGGGTAGGTGGGACATGGTATCACAAATTGTTAATTGCAAAATACCTTTGACATATTTTCAAACAAAATATAAGGTGTTATTTAAAATTTAAACTTCGACTGTAATAATCCGTAATAATAAAAATAATTTTCACCTCAAATTCGTTCGTTCGTCTGATAAGGTCGTAGCTATTCACTGGCAATACTGAAAAAATGCAAGTCAAATAACCATATAACTGACGTAAGCATTTTCAAGTCCCAAGCATGGGACGAAGATGGTTCTGCGTCATTTTATAGTTCATTGATATTTCAGATGACCATAAATTATATAAAACAAAAACAATTATATATAAAGATATAACCAAAGATGAAATACAATATATTATCACTAAATATTTTTAAAGCCCTCGTTAAACGTAAATTAATCAATAAAGCTTTTTATAAATTTGACGAATATTTAAATGATCCTAATCCTTGGGAATCCTTTGTATGACTCAAAACTTAGCGATTAAAAAGAGTGGCGGAGAGTTTCTTGCTCGCTCTACGCCCTTGACTTGCGATTTGCGAACTGGTAGTAAATGTAAATTTACTTCACTTCTTTTTTGACTTTCATAAGTGTACTTGTTTACCTTTATGAATAAAGATATTTTGAGTTTGTGTTTGACATACTATTTACAAGGTTAAAAAAATTAAATACATTTTACTAATTTGGCTGATGTGTTGTGTGATGGTGTGAAAGTGAGGGTATGTATGTGGGGTGGGCTCAGGTGGTGCAGGTTAGGCGCTATGGATGATCTTAATACTCCTTAAGCATATTCCGGGATAGTTTAAACAAGTCAATGCTTGAATAATGGAATTTTAACATTGTTGGTGTTGATGTGGGGAACAATAGTTATCGAATGATATATATTTCAGAATTTTTTTACTTAAAAGGGTTTCCAAATCTTACACGTTGTAAGCATATCTACTTACTTATAATGAACACATTTTATTTGTTACAAAAGTTTTAAAATAAAAATCCTAATTTTTTTCTTAAACAATTAAATTACCAGCAAAACAGCGGATTAGATATGAGATAGGCACTTAACAATGCTTTCTTTAAAATTGATCAGCCCACTACCGAATATATCCAGCTCCGGAAAAGTACCTACTGTTTATTCCGTTTATTAAGTAGGTACTTTGGAAACTTACCAGAATTCTCAATACTGGCCCGTATCATATCAATAACCAATCTGGCAATATCTTTTTGATTTATACATTTATATCCGATCGGCAAGTACTGGAAAGACACACCTTATTAACGGAATCCTGTCTTCACATTGATTAAGTAATAGGGTTAAATTAGATATAAGAGTATATTATATTTAGGGTGAGAAGGACGTGAGAATTTCGTAATTTCCAATATCAAATCACATATATTATCAACTTGAGAAAAGTCAAAGCTTAATGAATATCGGTTTAGTAGTAGGTATATATCGGTAACCATACATTTCTTAGGGGACTTGTATACTATACATAATAGAGAAAAGAAAGAGCAGTGTTGGCCTATTGGCTTCAGCTTCAGCGTGCGATTCTCATCCCTGAGGTCGTAGTTTCGATTCCCGGCTGTGCTTTTAGACTTTCTTTCTATGCAATAATTTAACATTTGCTCAAACGGTGAAGGAAAACATCGTGCGGAAACCAGCTTGCCTTAGACCCAAAAAATCTAGTGTCTGAAGCACAAGAGGCTACCTACTTGCCTATTAGATTGACAAATGATCATGAAACAGATACAGAAATCTGAGGCCCAGACCTAAAGAGCTTGTAGCGCCACTGATTTTTTTTATAAATATAGAAAACGGTTTATTAACATCAGTCTTTAGAAAATATAAAATTTTCCATAAAGAAATTGCTTTTTCTCAATAAATAAAAAAATAACTAACCAACTCTGCTTAGGTTAGCCTACTTACCACAACATCTTTAGAAAAGTCATATTCTGGGGATGAGCAGGTTTTAAGCTTATCTGGATTACTTATATACAATATCTTCTCATTTGTCATGTTATAAGATGGTGTCATGAAGAATTTCAAACAGATTTCCTCTTGTAATTTTGAAAATGTCGACATAATTTCATCTTGCGAGTGGAGGTCTTAAAATAATTAATATGAGCTTGAAGTATTTATTCGCTTTAGGGGAAATAAGTCATGGGGCATCTAAGTGGCGTAACTATACCATCTGGTGCCCGTGGCAAATTCTTTTGATGGGGCCCTATCAGTAAAAATCGTCACGTTGTACCTACTCAGTTTAATTTTAGAGATTTTCAGCGTACTCAATTACACGTTGTATATTTCCCACTAATGGCCATAGGCCTCCTCTCGAACGGGAATGGTCTGTAGTCCCCACGCTAGCCCAATGCGTATTGGAGACTTCACATTCATCCATGGAACATCTCTTGGGCAGGGGCCCTCTTGTGTCGGGGTCCTGTGGCATTTTGCCAGCCCTGCCACCCTATAGTTACGCCACTTGGGCATCTCTAATGCCTGCTGCTGACTTTTATCATCGGACGTCAAGAATGTTAAAACCACCGACGTCCGCCGTTCCACAACTGAGCGTTTTGTAAGACGCGTTTTTTTTCCGCGCACTACCACTCCGTGGAACCAGCTGCCCACTGAAGTATTTCCGAACCAAATCGACTTAGGGTACTAATTCTGGCCTTCTGAGTGTCCATGGGCGGCGGTATCACATAACATCAGGTCAGCCTCCTGTCCGTTTGCCCCGTTATATAAAAAAAAACGTGTGTGTAGGTACTTATGTAGATACACGCGTTAAAAGATAAAAATATTTTCATAAATTTTATTATACGTTTGTAGAAAAACGACACTAACAATAGAAACAACTAAAATTTTGACTATAGCTTAGAACTTAAACTTCAGGGTGTCGGTTTTTTGTGACGGTGTGCGCGCGCATCGTAAACATTTACTCATCATTTTTCTCTAACGCGCCAAAATAAGTAGGTATAACTTCAAAAAAATCTCGTCGTAACTCACCATAATCTTTATTATTTATATTATAATGGATAATTCCATTCCGCCATAGTCCATTACACATTTGAATCAATAGTAGCACCAGAAACATTACGGTATATTGAGCAATGTAACACAATTGTAACTTACTTTTATTGATATTTCTACGTTGCTTTATCGATTTAACGGACTTTAAAATTGGCATTATTATTTAGTATAGTAGTTTTGTACATTTGTTCGTTATGTATCAAAATTGCTACACTATTACTATATTATATAATTAAATAAATAAAACCTCCCAGGGTTATATATAAAAGTTAAATATTGGCTCTATTTACTTTATATAACAAAACAATACTTATAAATCGCACTGTTTATTAGTAACTGATTGTGACACCGGGCGAATAATTGAACAAATTCATGTCGGCAAGCTAACACCATAGAACACGTCATACTGAGCTGTTTCGTGTTCCCTATTTTAACAAACTATGCTCAAAATAATAAATTTACACGTGTTGTAGAACTAACAAGGAGAACGCAAGCATTGACTTGATCCATATTATCTCCAATCCAGTATTTTCGAAGTAAATAAGCAAGTCGATTGGAATTGGAGAACACCTCACCCACACACAGGGCCTGATTAACCCTTAGGCTAATTAGGCTGCAGCCTAGGGCGCGACGATCTTGGGGGGCGCGGGCGCGCTGAAATCGTGTCTACGCTAGCATCATACCCTGCATATTTCAACTAGACCGAGACCAGATGGCAAATTTTAGTATCCAAATTAGATGAAGAACCTACGGTACTAAAAATTATGTCAAAAGCTCGATAAAACTCAAAGTACAGAGACCAAAATAGAAGAAAAAGCAGTTTTAGAAAAAAATCTAACTCTAGAAATTGCAATAATGTTGTACTTTTGGAACTCTGTGCTCGTAAAGTTTCAAATCGTTAGTAGTTTATCTGACTCTTTATGAGAAATTGCTTATCTTAATACGTTGCGTGACGAAAAAGAGTTTAAAAATTTTGAATCAGAGGCAATCAAGAGATGCCAAGTGACCACATACAAAAAAGATGTAAGAAGAAAGAAATCAAAATTTCATTTTGATGAAGTTAAGACGGGGCACATTGAGTTAGAAGGGAGGCGATCTTTTATAGTTGATAATTATTATGCAGCTATTGATTGCCTTAAAGTGCAAACCTGCAAATTATTTATAATACAGTAAACACAACGTTTGGTTTCTTATGGTAACTGTATGAACAAGAGGACAGTGAATATATCAGAAGCAAAGCAAAGTAGTTAAAACAACTATACGCCACTGATTTAGGAGAAACATTTGCAGAAGAATGCGTCCATTCAGCACAGTTTTTAAAATGTGTCACCGAGGCCGAGCATTTTATTTCTTCCAGAATTATTGAAGATTTGTTGCAGTTTATAAAAAGTTTTAATATTTCATGCATCTTCCTGAATGTGTAGACAATATTAAGAATTATTTTGACGATGAGTGTCACCAACTGCAGCGGCGAAAGGTCTCTTTCAACACATAAAAGAGTAAAAAGTTACTTTCGCCGCAAGTTTTTGCTGGCTGAGGTTTCAAAAACTTGCAGCGCTCTCACACAGAAAATGATTTTTTACATTTGGAAAAATTGTGCAAAAATTTGCTAACGCAAGAAAAAGGCCTTTTGTATAAGCTAAAAATAATTAGGTACTTAATTTTTTTAACAGTTGACAAAATGTTTCACTTGTCCTACTCTCATTTTTTTAAAGATAACAACAGAAGTGTAAATATTTAAAAAATAACTTAAAGTCGAAGCAACATCAAACACTAGATGACCATGTCTATGGTTAACAGCCGCAACAACTAAGTTGTCCATAGAAACTAAGCCTAAGATTTGGTTTTCTAAATGGTTGCCTGTCATGATTTTGGTCGTATAATGCGTGATGTGCTTTGCCTTTGTCTACGGTCAGCTAAAAAATGGTTACAAGTCGTGCAAATTAAAGGACAGCGTTCGTTTCGCTTGCAGATCGATCTGTAAACTTATAGATAGTATGAACTATGTTAAAATTTTCACACTAAAAAACAAAGTCAAAACTAATACTTTACTTTATACTTTTAAGACCGACCGTAACACACCTATCATCTGGCAGGGGCGCATCCAGATTAATAGCCTAGAGCGGTCAGAACTCTTGATCAGTCTCTGCCCACACACGCATACATTTATATCCAAATCCACCAAAGCACTTAATTAGTACATTGTCTTTGTTAGTCCATAATGTTGGTCTGCTTACCTTCCTTTGAATCTCGCTAGTGCGAACCTGAATTCGCCATAGATCTCCAAAATCACCGTTGGTCGCGGATTACAAACATTTCAAAATGGCGCTTACATCAACAAATCCGCGAGTGACAAAGCGATTTTTAAGTCTCAACATAATCATTTTCATAATCATAAGGACAATTACGGGCCACTGTCCCATAAATAAAAATCTCTTTCTCCTTGGCGCGATAGACAGCCTCTAGTGCAGAGGCTATTTCAGCGCAGAGAGATATCAGTCACCCACGTACTCCCAGAATGCAATGCTGTGGCGTCCAAACGAGTAGAAATCCTCAGAGCAGAAAGGCGAAGCTTGCGAAGTGCACAAGAAATTTCTGAGCTTCTGGAAAGAGTTAGTCAGGACTTCCTTGCGTACGCATAAAATGCGCGTCTAAGTGCGGAAACTGAGTCCACTAAGATACATAATCTTAGCGAATACGGCTGGACGTTTGTAACAACGCACTCGCCAGGATTTGCCTTTTTTCGTATTAATACATATAAACTAAAACAAACATAGAGCAGTGTAGTTTTAATTTTACCTTGATTCTTTAACCTTTTGTGTCTAGAAGACGATCATCGCCATTTGGTTACGACAGAGCAATAGCTGATCAGATCTTCCAATCCAAGGTACATCTAAAATACTGTTACATCGTAATATCATCGTACTCCTGTCGCTGTACAATAGATAGTTTGTATGAAATTAGGATTTACTATAGACAAATGTAATTTTTAAGTCAATGTAGATCCGTCCGATAAAATCCTCTAAACATACACACACATTCACAGTAACAACAAAAAAAACGTGTGTGCACTTATGTACACGCGTTAGAAGTTATACCTTGGCGTAACAAGATAAAAATCTTTTTAAAAATTTACTCTCATAATTTTCCCTAACGCGCCAAAATAAAGTGTCTTAAAAATAAAATGTTGACTATAGCTAACTTCAGGTCGGTTAGCTTGTCGGTTTTTTGAGACGGTGTGCGCGCGCATCGTAAAAATTTACCCTCATAATTTTTCCATAACGCGCCAAAAGTATAACTTCAAAAATGTAAATTCATACACAAGTATCGTGACAATAGACAATAAATATCACAGACTATGTAGAGATGGAAACGTGGCAATCACTGCAATAAACTTTTAGCATTAGAACCAAATGTATAAAATAGTCAACAAAGAAATAATTGCATCAATATACACAGTAGTAATGAAAACAGCATGTATGAATCAGTAAACTTTCGTTGGTTTCGGTCAGATGCTACCCCAAATAGTTCCTGAACTGAAGATTATTCGTCGTATTAGTTGAGAATAAATAAAAAAAATTCAGATGCAACACATACCATTTTACCAATCACAATAAAATGTACACGTGGTATCAACAAATCTATAAGTTTTTCATAGAAAAATCGCAATCTCTTAACATTTTTCGGCTCCAACAAGAATTAGTACCTCATTTGAATCTAGGAAATATTAAAATTTTAAGCTATAGTTAGTTTTTTCTATAACATACAAAACTTTAGTACATTATTAGTGAATTAATATAAATATAAAATTCAGCCTCTATTGTTTGCCTTTAAGGCAGAGTTAACTTAATATTAATTTTAATAACAATCTTTGTTATTTTATGATTGTATGAAATGCCTTTAAGGCCGAGTTCGCTTAATATAAAAAACAGCCAAGTTATGTTTGTATAAAATGCCTTAAAGGCAGAGTTCTCTTATAAATACTTTTAAAAACAATCTTTGTTATTTTATGATTGTATAAATCCCTTTAAGGCCGAGTTCTCTAAATATGAACTTTAAAAACAATATTAATTTTAAAAACAATATTAATGTTATGTTTGTATGAAATGCCTTTAAGGCCGAGTTCTCTTAATATTAAAAAAAGCCATGTTAGGTTTGTATAAAATGCCTTTAAGGCAGAGTTCACTTAAAATTACTTCTAAAATCAGTCTTCGATAACTTAAAAATAATACAATCTTCTTTCTTCTGTCTTGATGTACAAATGAAACACATATTTTATTCCATATGTCAATATTGCTTACACTTATTTTACAATACAATATGAATAGACTTACACAATACCTCATACTTGTGTATGCCTTTACATAAATTTGGGCGTCTGTTCTCTAACCATTTCACAGCTTTACAATTTTTAAACAATGGTTTAAATGTCAATATATGTGTATATATATTTTTACCATAGCAATTATGCTATAAAGCTCTTGACCTTTATACTCTTAGGGTATGATTTAGAGATGGGACGTAACTATGGCTTCTGGATGTTGATATCCAATGGAGTCACACATAGCACTAAAATTTGCTTCTGAATCTATTTAGGTCCTAACCCAAAATCACTAATTGTATAATTACAGTTTTAAATAATGCTCATTTATGTTAAACAATTGTTAAAAAGAATATGGTTAAAAAGCCTGTGAATGTAAGCCCATAGAATTTTTTATTAAATTAAACAGATGAACTCTTACAGTAAAACTGACAGTTCAAAAGTATAAATCTTAGTATTAAGAAATTAATTGACAAGGTAATGTTCTCTATAAAGTTGGCTTTATCATAGTTTTCCCTAGACCTAAATATTGTGTAAGCTTAATCCTACTTAGCTAAACACAATAAATAAAGTGCATATCAGAATAACTGAGATCAACAGAAACCACTTTTATACATGCATTACTCTTGACAATGTAGAAATGTCAACTGTCATGTGGATGACAGCTAACGTTACTAAGTGACAATTACATATAAACAAAGTTGAACCTACATAAACTTTGTGAAAGGGAGGAAATAATCGGCCCATATCCCTGAGCATTATCATATAACTCAAATAGAGGAGCAGCCACTAATTTATAGTTCTTGGGTACAGCAAATAATGCCCTATCCTGTAACTGCACTAAGAAGAGACGTTTATGTTCTTTAGGTTTAGTTATGTGGGGTGGGACATACGGATACTGTGGTGGTTCAAAGTTTGGACGCCACCAGTTTCCTGAAAATTAAAGTCATCATTTAGGCCATGATTCTAAGATAGTCTATCTTTAGTAGCATTTTTAGTAATTGGTCTTAGTCCATCTCACACTAACAATTCTAAACCTTAGGTCTTAGCATAACAACATATCATACATATGTATATATCAATATATCATACACAGACATCACATAAATCTTAAAACAATTGAAATCTTTATAAAACTTAGCTTCTTAATAAACTAGTGTATTATTAATTGCTCTCCAAAGACTGAAGAGCTATGATAACTTACAGTAAAAGTAAAATTATTTATGTATTACATTCTTAAGTATAAACTGAGTAGACCTCTTCCAAAAAAAAAACCTATAAGGATGCTTATTATAATGATATTCTTTACTATGACTGTGAACTCAGTTATTTCAGTCAGCTATTAAAAACCATAGAGGCGTGCATCTGTTTGATTATATTCCAAGTACTAGCTTTTTTTATATTCACTCATCTATACCCATTTTAATCTATTGATATTTGAAGATTAAATAACATACCAATTGTGTCTTCAATAAGCCAATCCTGTTTAACTCCATCTTGTCTTCCAAGAGTCTCTGTAAGCAATCTCTTTAGCCCTTCGATTTCATCCTGAAAATATATGATTGTATTTGTATTACTGCTTACAATGACAAGATCACATTAAATAAAGATCAACTAAATATTTGTTTTACATATAAAATTATTTTATATAATAATGTATATATAATATTAATAATTATAATAGATGTGACTTAATTCGTTGAGAAATTAAGAAAGTTGTATGTAGGTATTACAAGTAACTTTTGCATCCCTTTAATAAAGCATCTTCCCTACTCTCTATTATGTTTTATATGAACATATTATGATAGATCTCAGACCCTTTAAGAAATGCCAGCTCTAATTGAGATACATAAGTTACATTTGTTAAAATGTTCTTATTTTAAATAAAACTGTACGAAACAGAATTAAACATTAATAAAAAATACAACATATCTAAAAACTAGTCTTCATGGAATTATAATCTCTCCCCAATATCAAGATTACATATGTGATATAATTGTTTAGTAATACACAGGTCATTTTAACCTGGCAAAACTATCCATTGACTATATAAAACTAACAAAAATTTATACTCACTTCTCCAGGATTAAGTTCACCACCTGGTAGCTTGAAGAAAGCAGTCCCAAGTTGCAGTAACAATACATGCGGTAAACCATGTTCATGTACTAATAGTACTCCTTCCACAGACCTGTAATTCATGAGTTATATTGATAGACATATCATGAAGTAACCAAACAATAACTCAAATATTGTGAATAACATAGTAAACTGTCAAATAAAATTGATAGTTATCGGCCCTGGCTGCTTCTGATTATTTGTTTCAGGTTAATTTAAATAAACCTAACCTTCTCATGCCGATTTTAGTAAATTCTTCACGCATTCTCTGGAACCTAGCAGGTACCGATGCATCTTTTTCAAACAGCGGTTCTTTCGTACCGAATGTGTAATTTGTTAGCGGATATAAGTTTATCGATCTGTTTAATGTTAAACTTGCGGCATTCTGGCTATTTTGATGCTGAATTCCCGGACGAACCGGCCATTGGGGCTTGGCTTGAACCGCTGCCATCTTTATAGTTTAAACTTATTAAAGGTGAATTTCAACTATAAAACTATATTCCGGGGTTTCTTGCTTGCGATACGATTATCCAGAAGAAAGACACGGCCGATGATAGTATAAAATAAAACAATAGGAATTCGCAATCGCGTCCACAATTTAACAAGCACAAGCCACAAAGCACAAATGACAATGACAGCACAGAAGTCACAGATTGATTAAAAAGCACAGATGTCTAATATCCCAGTCTCGAATTGTAAATGGTGCGTTCCACTAAGCGCTCACGACGATCAAAATGCTCCTTTAGCCATTCCACATACCGACCGCGGTCGTTGTGGTCACGGCGAAAACGTCACTCATGACGTCATGACAAATGCTCACGCAACGCTCACAACGACCCATCTAAAGAGGTGGGTCGTTGTGAACGTTGAGAATAATTTGGCGCAATTTTTGAAATATGACAAATAATAATATTATTATATTCAAAGCTTAAAGATGGCGACAAGAAAAATCACATTATTTGATTCAGAAAGAGAAATTGTAAAGCCATTTCGATTATATTTAAACTTAAGTTGTTTGATAACTTCACCAAAATTATTTATAAAATATTCAATTATTCTTCACTTTTAACATAAATAAATTTAAGTCACAAATATCAAAACTTATTGTTTATGATTACCTAACCTCCTTAAAATTCTACTATTTTCAAACTTGACATTTGTAATATTTACATGAACGCCCGAAACGGTCCATAATCCATTCCACTTGAGTTAACGACAGTAACATTCACAATCAAGTGGAATGGGGAAATCAGCGGTCGTGAGCGTGATCGTCGTGAGCGCTTAGTGGAACGCACCAATAGTGTAGTAATAGTCACAAGGGAGGTAAGAGTAGATTCGTTAGTGTCGTCATTAATAATCATGCTTCACTGTTCACGGCTTAACAGATTAAATTCAAATTTTGAAAATCGTTGAGATTTTGAGCGTTATCATGGCAACGGGATTACCTACGCTACAGATTGTATTTTTTTTTTTACATTTTACATAAGTTAATTGGCTATTAACATTTCATACTGTAAAAATATGGTATAAAAAAAGTTTTTACATGGTGTGTATCCTGTAGCGAAGTAAGAATTAAAAGTCATAACCACGATTTTGGGGGCCTCATAGCCTAGCGGTCTTATTAAGTGGCAGCTAGGTGAGGGGTACCGGGTTCGATTCCCGGTTCGAGGGCAAGTTTTAATTTAATTTAAATTTGTTCTCAGCCTTTGGGAGGGTTGTGTGGTACCGGGCGAGTGCCTAAAACCGTACATGGAGGACATGGTCAAATTTCTAAGGCCAAAAGCACGAATTATAAAAATCTTTTACTTGACGCTGGCTAATGCAGAAACCTTGCCAGAGCCATAAAAAAAAACAAACCACGATTTTCTTAATAATTCAAGTATTTTATTGATGTATATTAGTGAAGGTAATCGTAAAAAATAAATACAAATTAATTTAATAATATGCTAAATAAATTATATTAGTTATATATCTATATATCGTCGTTTTAGTCTAGGGGCTAAAGATAAGATGGCGTACAATAAAATTTAAATTCAAATTTTTGTCGAAGGTGGCTTCTTGAGTACTCACCCCCCCTATACTTTAATTACTCTTTGGTACTCACTTCTATAACTTATAAACTATGAAGTGAATTTAATAAGTTTATAACTTTCTGATTTTTTCTTTACAATTGGTTCTTAAATTTGTAATTTGTTACAAAATGTCTCACCAACTAGAATTACTGACCGAAAATCCTTTACAATGGACGACGGTATCATTAATTACGCCAGAAATACAGAAAAAGGAAATCAAACCTTTTGTTTTGTGTAAGTTCTTTCTAATTAAATTAACTTTATTGCATATAACACCAAATTCATCCTACATAATTGCCTATTAAACTCAGTGTTATTTATTATTTATATGAGTATGTAGCAATTGGTATATTATTCAACTTTCATAATTGTGTTTTTCTCATATGAATTTTTCTTACAGTGGCTCTAAAGGAGTTGGAGGGGAATCCAGATAGCAGAATGAGGAATCTTATGAATGCCGATAAATTTTCAGCAGTGAGATCAGTTGTACGGCATGTATCCAGACTAAGATCTGCTCACAGAGAGCCTTGGGTTGAAGAAGATGTACAGCTGTTTTTAGAAAGCCTAAAGTAAATATTTAAAGTATTATTTAGTTAAAAATGTAAACTTCCAGGTCAAGTTTTGTACTTGACTCTTTATAATAAGTTGATGGTACTCTTATGCATTACTTACACTCAGCCCTGTCAGTAGACAGCGTTAGTATGTATACGGTGACCTGTATACATACTAACGCAGTTTATTTTATAATTCTGGCACTGCTATAGCCATTGTTGCACATTGATCGGTAAAAGAGTACATGAGGTATGAATACTCACTGGTGGCAATATTGTACAAAAAAGTACTTAGGGTAATGCTTCCTGCTGCGGAAGCAATAGCAATAATTTTATCCAATATTTTTTTATGTGAAACATTGCTAATCATACTATAAAAATCCTGAATACTTCTAAAAACTATTTAACTTACAGATTCAACATGGAGTGTGTTAGTGAATTAACAACTTTATTATGTACAGATAAAATATATACAAATTTACAAAGACATTTGAGGATCAAACCAGGTATTGAAAGTTTGCAGTGGAAGATTGATGTATCAATGAGGTACATATTTCATTCATTTAATTTTTTTTCAATTTTGTTAACATCGAGATAACATTTGAGATTAAGACTCCCATCTATGTTTTACACAGTTATTTAGTAGTATGTTTTGTATTGATGCTGAATCTTACCCTAAAAAAAATATAATAAAAGTATGTTTAATACAGTTTCATCAAATAATAAAAATAAGTCAATGTTTGCACATAAAATATTAACCTAAGGTAATATTAATAGATTACCTATAGGTAAGTTTTTGGTTCATCAAAAATCTTATCTGACTGGTCATTATACTAAGACACTACTTAAAAAGAATTATACAATAACAATTAATGGTATTGTAACTATTACAGTAGTATAACCACAAATTTAAAAATGCAAAAAATTATGGAACAGCTCATAATTGATAAGCTTATATTGTTATGCTTGAAACACATTTTTAAAATGTATGTTATAAATAGAATTTAAAAATTTCAGCCAAAACAACATTCGACATGAAAATCCAACTGCTGAAAGAAGAAAAGAGATCCTCTATAGAGATACCCTAGTTATACTAACATTATGTCTAACAGATGGCAAGAAATATATTTACCGATTAACATTAAGTAAGTTTCACGAACTGAGATATTTGATAGCAAGTGCATTGAAGAGTATGATTGTTTTAGAGAAACGTAAATGTATGAGGAGAGACTGATTTGATAACTAAAGTGGTACGTTAGTAAAAGACTATTGTTGTCTGAACTTTAAATCTGCTTGAAGCGGATTAGATTGCTGTTAAACAACAATTTGGAAATAAATGTAAAAAAAATATTTTAAAACTAATATAAAATTATTTTATATGTCTTGCAGGCCACTAGTTAATTAGCTGATTAGTTAAGAGGCTTGGCTGTTAATTGAATGGCTTATTAGACTAGTTGGCTGCGACATATATATAGAATAATGATTAATATAACAGGGGTGGGTAAATTTATAATAAAAAGGTTCTTGTGATATTTAGTATCTTAAATTTTTTATAACTTACCTGATCCATGTCAGATCTAGGTGGGTCATGAGACCTAGGGGGCCTTTCAAGTATTACATTAGCAGATTTACTGCAATTAATCCTCCCCCTCTTGTCAGCAAAAGTAAGCAAAGCTCTCAAAAATCATAGCACATAAACGTATTAGTTTTTTGTAGCAATTCTCGAAAATTTATTTCGTTTTCAAGCATAGACAATGTGTGGGTAATACGTGAAAAAGTTAATAATTACTGTTGACGTAATCACCAAATAAGAAAATGAAAGGGAAATCCCCCACCATAGTGCTTATGTAATATTTGAACGGACCCTAGGTCACAAATTTGTGATATTTTTTGACCTGACCTTCAAAAGGTCATGAAGTCTTGACTGTAGCTAATTTTGGATGACCCACTTTATGGCTACCAAAACTTGTAACAATTGTATTTGAGAATTACTTAAATTTAACACACTAAAACTAGTGTTGCTGTGTGTACTGTCTATGTTCATAGATTTAATTTACAAGGCTGTTAATAGACAATAGTTTTTGAGATAACATTCCCAGCTTCTTTAAATTATAGACAAAAATTATCTAGTGTACATTTGTAGGTATAGAATTCCTTTATAAAAAAATTTTAAACAAATATTTTCAGTGTGGCTATTTGTTTATATTAACAAAACAACAGCATGAAAAGAACTTTGATGTAAAAAAAATTCATATACATTTTCTCTGATAATTTTGTTAGTTATTCGGAATATACCATCATATTTTACGATGCGGAGCGGGGATTGAATTACGCGTTATTGTTAATATTATTTTCGACTTTCCCGTACTTTACCTTTTCCCCTTACACTCTGAGTAAGTTATTATTATTTTTTTCTTACTAAGGCGAAAGACAATTCAATAAAAAACTAATAAATGTCATAAAATAGGTTACAACATATTAAGATATTGGTAAGAGGCAAAAGAAAAACAAGTTCTCATAGAAGATTTATGTTTGTTGATATAAAAATATTGTTCTTTTATCACCATCATTTCTGAAACAATAAATTGTCAATTGTTATTAGTTATTTAATTTGAAACCCTAAATATATTATTGAGCGATAAACATGCAGACATCATTAACGCCAGGAATTGAACCCAAAAGCTGTGTTGTATTATATTAAACCAAAAATAATAATATTGGAAATGGTTTGAATAACTAAACAACATTTCTTACTCCAATATTGAATCTAGACGAACGAAGGAAGACCGAACAACGAATCATCGTATTAAAACTGCGTGTCAGTCATATAAGCCTCAAAAACCTATTATATATCACTACATGTTACTTTGAAAATAAATTAATAACCTATAGACGTTAATAGTACGTTATAAATGTGACCGGAAACTTCGAAGGACCAAAAAAGAATGAAGTGAATCTTCTGTTTAAGATTAACTTAATTGCTCATTGCATACATAATTCACGTACTGAGAAACAATATGTAAAACTAAGCTAAATAATTAGAGCGCACAGATGTACGTAAATAAAATAACAAAACGAAACATCAACAAAAATGTGGGTAGACATTATAAACTCGATCAGTCAACCAAGCAAAGCATAGATATTCGAATTTGATTTTTTACCAGACATGGCATTGATGGCATAGTCTGATATAGCAAGTTTATATTTATTTTATTATTTATTATAAGACTATTTTATTTTTAGTTTGTTCTATTTAATATATTTTGGGTATATACATGGTTTTTAACATTAAGTATTGGGTTTTATTTGTTTTTGTTTAATTTAAGTAATTACTAATGTATATTTTAAATTTAGAGGTGTATACCTAATCTACATAGGTTGTGTATTTTATTTTTGTTAATATATACATATTTTTTTTTATTAATTATTTGTACGTATTAATTGTGTGAGTTTTTAGTAGCTTTTGGACCGGTTATAAGTTTGTTCTCCTTTTATAACTGATGGTAACTTATTATAAAAATAAATAAAAGACTCTTCTCTATAAACTGCCAGACAATGTCTTCTTTATAATTGTTATTCTTTACTAATACATTGAAAAACTCAAGTTGTTTTTGTTGAAGGCTCAAATACAGGAACTACTGGTTCTCGAAAAAGGATTCACATCGAACGATTTTTTTAGCAATTATTATTATACAAATTATGACAACATAGAACTTCGTTCGACTTAGAGTCATAGAATATGTAGAACCCGCACAATTTTATGAAGGTACTTATGTGACTGTACTAAAAGTACCTTATGCTTAGCAGCATGATGCGCTCGCAGCGACGCCTGTTGAGTGAAAGCTTCTCCGCACGCGCATGTGTAGGGACGTTCGCCTGTATGTACACGACTATGGACCTTCAGGCCGGATTTGCGCTGAAAAGTGAAGTTGTTTAATTAATTATGTTTTCCTAGACATTGTATGTAATAAAAATGAAATATTGGGGAACTTATATTAATATGATTTCTATGCCAACGGCTGATGGTCATGAGTGAAGTCAAAAAGAAAATGATCGTGTATACGATGTGAGACAACGTCATTTTTCGGATCCAGGTGTAAGATTTACAGTGGATAATTATGACACACATATGTCAAAAACGTATTAGTTTTGCATGCACTACATTAATGTAGAGTCTATGCGGTACTTCATTAAAAAACGTGGAGGCTTTTCTCTCCTAGCTACATCTCTCCGATGAGTTTTGAAGCTGACGGTTCTTGGATACCTCATATACGGCCAAAAGACTACTCAGCTTTGAGACTATGGCAGACTTAACCTCATCTGAAATTTTTGAGGTGCCAGCATGTACTCGAATGAACAAGATCCGTGGCTGACCAGAAGTCAGGAATTTTAGATATCAAGTTAATCGCCGCAATATCCGCAGCTGGCGTTGATTGCGGACGCGGGATCATCAATTTAGGTGTGCACATGTTGCGGTCATCTAGTTAAGGTGTGTAGGAAATTAAACATAATCAGTAGCTAATATTTATTGCGCGCGAGAAGAACGACCGGCGCTACCAATTCTACGCTACACACTGTCGCCATATGTGGTATACATAAGCCCCTACACCTGTAATGACGTCATTAAATATTATCTGTGCGGACTTTTAGAGCTCATTTACACGAGCGGCACGATGCCGACGGCAGAGCAACTGCCCGCCCCGACGGCAGCCGTCGACCTATATTGACGCTTCCAATTGTTTGTGTTTGTAGCGTGCCGTCCCCGCCATTTTGTCTCTGACTGCAAATAGTTTAGGAGTGCGCACCCGTTTCAATTTTATAAAATGATCTCCAGTGACAGTATTGATGTTGAAATGCTTATTACGGCAGTAAAGGCTTGTATTTGGAATTATAAACTTTGGAATTATAAACAAGAGTAGAGTAACCAAACAATAAAAATTGAGCGTGGGCGGCTGTAAACAATGAACCAAAATACATTGGATCCACAATGCACGTGTGTTTCTTTTTCGTTTATGTCGAGGTCGACGGAGTAAAAGCAATTATAGTGTTTCTCCTTCGGAATTCATTTTGGAACTGGCCCCTGTACGAAGAGAGCCTCCGACGGCTGCCGCCTGCCATCGAGCTTCAATTTTGACATGTCGACGGCTGCCGTCGACGAGTGCAGTTGCTCTACCGTCGGCATCGTGCCGCTCGTGTATTTGAGCCCTTAGTGTCTATGACGATCAAAAGTGTTTTACGGCAAGTACTTACAGTAAAAACTTTACAGCAAACACCGCACTGATATTCCGACCTGCTCTCGCCAACCGGATGTGCTCTTCTAACATGTAGTCTAAGAGCTTCCGGTCCACTATATACTTTACTGCATTGATCACAATGTGAGGTTTTAGGCAAATTATGGAGACTTGTCTCATGATGATCCAACCTTGCTTTTGTAAGGAATTTTTCGGCGCATAAATTGCAGTCATATCTGGTAAAAAAGGAGAGGAATAAAACTCATACATTTCTTGAGAATTCGTTCTAGAAAGCACATATCCAAGGCCGGATTTGGAGGTCTGAGGCCTCAGGGCAACAAAGGAGTGGAGGCCCTCTGGCCCCAAATTATTTTCCAAATAAAATGAAAAAAAATCATTAGTTTTTTAATCAATAATTTATTGTGAAACCAAGTATATTCTTTTAGTATTTAACAAACATAAAAATATATCAAAAGAAAAGTTGTTTACTAGTCGGAGTTTTAAACATTTTTTTCCGAAGTCTATTAGTATTAGTATTAATGTATCATGTATGGGGTTCGAATGTCCGGTCTGTAGGTTTGATTTTATATATATATATATATATATATATATATATAAGCAAATAAATAAGAACTTACTTATAATGTGATGGATCCGTGTGCTTCTTACTTCTTTTAAAATGTTGTTTTAAAGCTTCCTGAAAAATTGGTAAAAATAATTTAAAAAATGAGGGTACTTATTAGTCTAAGATCCGGCTGCAGGATTAACCAAATTTTTATGTATATTTATAATTAAGAGAATGTATATCTTCTAAGTTGCCTATCAAAATTTGCCCGCTAGTATTTTTATGAAATTATTTTGAATTGATTTTTGGGACAACATTTCGTTTCGTTTACATTAAGATTTAAAAATTTACGGGTTGCCCACCTGGCCGCACTTCTTCGTAGCCAGATGTAAAAGGTATATAACGTACATTTATTAATTATATATCAAATTACTAATTTTTTTCTATAAATAATCGTATATGGGTGCCTATTTAAATCTGGCCGCAAATAAGGGTTACCAGCAGTTAAAGATGATAAATATTTAAGGTGGAGTGAAAGAGAGTTAACGCATAACATCATTTGTCAAACGAGGATAGCGAATGCGGCCTGTGTGATGCTTTTAAGCCATTGCGCATGCGTCGAATGTTGCGGCATTTTTATTCTAACATAAAAACCACGCCGTTTTGGAGTTCGTAATAAACAACGTTATATATTATACTAGTGGACCCCACAGACGTTGTCCTGCATGATATTTAAAGCGATTAGGATATTAAGCAAAGTATGAAAGTACCGACTGCAGTGCCATCTGCCGGGCTGATTTGTGAATCTAAACCATTCCCAGATCCCCTTGAACACACACAAAAAATTTCATCAAAATCGGTCCAGTCGTTTGAGAGGAGTTCAGTCACATACACACGCACAGAAGAAATATATATATTAAGATATACATTGTTTTTTTTATTTGTGCATCAAAAATTATTAAATAAATTAAAACAAAAACAGCGTGGTTCTCTATAATTTTCATACACAATACTTCCAATACAGTTTATATTTTTTGCAAACTTTAAACTTTGTATTCACACACGTATTGTATTTACACACTATACAGTTTTATACAGTTAAATTTGTCGCAGAATTTATACGTGTACACAGTTAATACTTTAAGCACACTTTATACTTTTCACACACTATAGTTTTCGTACAGTTTATAATTTTCACACTTTATACTTTTCATACAGTTTATAATTTTCACACACTTTATACTTTTCATACAGTTTATCATTTTCACACACTTTATACTTTTCATACAGTTTATAACTTTCGCAGACTTTATACTTGTCACATAGTTTATACTTTTCACACTATTTATAATTTTATTTCTTTGCATCATTACTTGCATCTTTATTTCTTTATTTACTTTATGTACATATTATTACTTACCATAGATGTAAATTTAATATCACATTCGACGCAGTAAAAATCTTTATCGATATGAACGGAGCGAATATGTTTTTCTAATAACGACTTGAATATAAACGTTCGTTTGCACGTGTCACACGAGAATCTCTTTTTGACGTCGTGACGGCTGTAAATAATAAATGTATTAAGCAAAAACAGGGTTTAAATTTCTTAAATAAAATAAAAATCAGTCATGTATTATATATGTATATATCAACATGTACCCTCACATTATAACACAAGTTACCAACAAATAAATATATTTAATGTAATTAAAAAATACTTAAAAAATAATATGAAAAAACTCTGGCATCTTTTATTAATGACGGCTATTTTTTTTATTAAATATGTATAATAATGATCAATGCATCTTGAACTTTATTATAAGTATAAACATGTTTTTATTTTTATGTTTAAATGTGTATTCCTTTTTTGGCTTTTGTGTTAAATGTAATTGTTTCATGAGTAGCTGTAGGAATACTGATGAGCAAATAAATAAATTTAATAAATTAAAAGAAATAATAAACAATAAAGTAATACCAAAAAGGAAACTTAAAGATAAATAGGGTCTCGACGAGGAGACAGCGACGACGGCGTAATTCTTTATATTATATGTAAGAAAAGGTATTTAACATAAAATTACATTCATGTCTTTTCATATTTAAATCTTGTGTTGAAAAATAAAATACAATGATTTCTAATCTATAATTTGATTGGTATATGTCAACACCAAAATCTGACAACATTTCAATAGACTAAACGCGCGAAATGAATAAAATTGACATGCAATAGTCAAATTATGTAAACATTGTATAGTCTGTAAACCAAAGACAATAAGACGATCTAATAGCGGTGCCATAGAAAGAAGTATTAATGGAATTAAAGTGACAAACAGAAAAGTGAAAGTATCCGCAAGGGGCCTCATAGCCTAGCGGTCTTATTAAGTGGCAGCTAGGTGAGGGGTACCGGGTTCGATTCCCGGTTCGAGGGCAAGTTTTAATTTAATTTAAATTTGTTTTCGGCCTTTGGGAGGGTTGTGCGGTACCGGGCGAGTGCTTAAACCGTACACGGAGGACACGGTCGAATGTCTAAAGACAAGCACGAATTATAAAAAAATCCTATACTTGACGCTGGCTAATGCACAAATCGTGCCAGAGCCATTAAAAAAAAAAGTTGTGGCACTCGGGAACTGCCGCGGTAAAGCTATTGCATAACTTTTTTTTAACTCATGCAATTATAATTATTTATTTATGCAGTATTTTTTTTCTTTGATAAATTAATTCAATCTACCACTCTACCAGACTAAGACTAACTCGCCTATATAGTCTGTCTCACTCTAAAGCGCACCGGCTGCACCGATCTCGTCAGAGAGATGTGAATACGCAGTATGCGTTCTGTCCCGCTCTAACGCGTATTGGCCGCACCTATATTACGTCATCGCGTGTTAGGTTTTTTCGTTACGGAATTTCTTGATTCGGTCGCCGCGCTCAAAGCCCGCGATAAAATCTATGCAATAGCTTAAAAAAAGTATCCGCAGGAAAACCAAAATGACGTGGGCAGGCAGATAGCCTATTATACAGATGGGAGATGTCAGAAGGATAAACCAAAAGAGCGATAGTTTGAAGAGATTGAAAGGATATCTGGCTAAGATTGGTTGATAGAAAAAAATAGAATATCTTAATAAAATTGTATATCTAATATATAAAATTCTCGTGTCACAAGTCATAAGATTTTAATTAACCAATAAATAATAGGGGTTGATCGTAGAGGAGTGAAAATTAAGGGTTGTATGTATTTTTGTATACTGTATCATAAAAAACTAAAAAAAAAATTCTCAAAAATAAAACATTTGGGGTTTGTAAGATAGATAGTAGCCGAATCTCAGACTTACTGACTATGCATAAAAAAATCATAAGAATCCGTCGAGCCGTTTCGGAGGAGTATGGGAACAAAAAACCCCTATTATTTATTGGTTAATTAAAATCTTATGACTTGAACTCTGATGTTTATATAGAGAAAAAGTCACAGAAAACCTAAAAAGTTTTCATTCCAGAAAACCGAACAGTCTTTGGGGTAGAATAGCAAAATGTTCCATGTTGGAATGTACTAAAAAGGTAGGCTAGGTAAAATCATATTAAGGAGAAACAAAGTTCGCGGGGGCAGCTAGTATATTATATGGTATGTACATACGTAGTGTGCACACGCAATGTTTCCTTGCTTTTAAAACCCCTCCCACACTCGTGACACGTATGGATGTCACTGTCTGCATGCGTTCTTGCGTGACGCTGGATCACAGTACGTTTGCTGAAAGATAACACATAAAGTCTGTAAACAAATCATAAATACGTCAATTTTTTTTGAAAAGTCAAAAAAATGCCGTCGACTTTTTGCACGTCGGTTTCCTCACGATATTACCGTTCGAGCGAATATTAAATGCGCACATAGAAAGTACATTGGTGCACAGCCAAGGATCGAACGTACGACTGCAGATATGAGAGTGGCACGCTGAAGCTACTAGGCCAATACTGCTCTAAACAAGCTGGAAAATACGAATGAAAAAAGGATGACTTATTTTCCTAAATTAACTCTATTTTCCAATTTCAAAAGTATCTCATATCGCTTGCTTTTTTAGTTTTTAAGCCCTTAGAATAATATTTAGACAGAAACACTACTGACTTGGTTGTAAAATCACACTCGTTACACTTATATGCCGGTATGTCTTCTGTGTGATCTAACATATAGTGTTCCAAGATGTGTTGACGAGACAGGCGTACGATCCCACATATTTTGCATTTGTATCTGTAATAGATTAAAATATACTATATACTAGTATGACATTAAAACTGCTAAGTTTTTGAAGTGCACACGCACAATTTTTTTAATTATTGCTTAAACATTGTAAACTGAGAATACAAAAAAGATTACACAGTACAATCCTTTACTGAGAAACTAGAGTTAAACATTTAAAAAAATACAGGCAATAGAGAGAAAAAAGTTTTGAAAAAATATCTCTTATTGCGGGTAGGTGTTAAAACTTTTGTATGTACCCTCCAAAAGAAATATTTTTTTGAATATGCAACCGAGATAACAGTGTATCACGAATGGAATTAAAAATATAGCCGCAACGTTTCAGGCATATGCAACATCTTGGTTATGTGATACCTCCTAAGTATACTGAGTCAACTGACATTTTAGTAATTTTATAGGAGAGCCATTTTAAGGCAAATTGTTTATATTTTAATGAAATCAAACTAATTCGGAATAAATTAAATGTTTTTTCAATAAAGATTGAAAGCTCTTCCTTTGGTATAACATGATATTGCTGAATTTTGTTTTTAAATGATATTTTATGTACATGACTCATTATACACGGGCGGGACTGAATAGTAAAATGGTTTAACTACCAGTTATATTCATGTACGTTGTACATGAAAATCCATGGCTTACTCGAGAATATTACGAAATATGATAATCATTTTATTAATATCATACTACTTTTGGGTTATTTTCGATTTTTTTTGTCCTACTTAATAATAAAATGTTGGAATTACATCACTTGACTCATTATACTAGGAAAGTACTTACCTATGTTAGTAGTTAAAACCTCAACGTATACTGGACTAATATAATTAATCGAGGCTTTTTAATTACTCATTTTAGGTATTTCGAATACCTCACGAAATTAATAAAGGTTAGGAAGATGTAGTCTCATTAACAAAACAACACATTCAAAAGAATCACAATGTATTTTTCGTTTATACTAAGTAGGACCCTTTTTGTAGTACTATGTAGTATCATTAAAGTTTCTTGAAAAGTAACAAACATCAATAAAAATAATAGGAACTAAAAATGGTAACTTACGTTAAACAATATTAATAAAAATAATAAATATGAATAATATAAATATCTAAAAATCTAGGAAATTCTAACGATCAAAAAATTGCTATAAGGTTTAACAAAATAAATAAAAATAATTAAAGGTTGAACGAATCAAAAATCAGTCTGAATCACTATCATCTGCTCCATTAGAGTTATTTAGATAGATAGATAGATCCATTATTAGTAGTTGTCCAGTTGTTTATAAGTTTTGACTTTGATTTGAAGTCCTTTATTAAATCCTGAGACACTTCAATAACTGTGTATGTATCTAAAAGCTGTATATCATTGATCAGGCATATAAAGCTTTTTATCTTTGTCTTCAATTAAAGCGTGCATACTGTCGCCTTCACTTTGTGAATAACCCACTATTAGAAAGCAATGGCTAATAGATATACTACACTTTAAACTATTTAACATATACATTAAGAAATAAATCCTATTTCTATTTTGGCCTCCACAGTTGTCTGACTAAAACCGGTAATCTTTGACACCTTCACCACCCGTATCTTCTATAAACTTAAAATGATAGCTGGAGATTTCAATTGCACCTCTCTTTGCTGTCTGTTGATACCATCAAAAGCAATCACCTTGGCGAGATCCCAGAATGAATATCGTGAAATTATACAAATAATGTTTCCGTTTATAATAAAAAGTACTCACGCTCCCGTGAGGTACATAGTACATACATTAAAACACTTTTGAAGATCAGATGCTGATGTAAGGATTTCCTTATTTTGTAACGCTGATTTTTTATCTTTTGTTTTCATTTTTCTAGCTTTCTCTCTTTTTTTAAATGCTCTTCATGCTTTTCTTTATCTGTCTGTAGAACTTGCTTGTATGTTCATAAATGTGACATTGTTCACAAAAATCTTTTTTGGGTTTATAAAACCTATATATAGATATCTCGATATTGTCTCACGGTAGTCCATAAACCATTCGATTCATGAACAGTTTTGGGAAGGATAAAAAGCCCTCCAGATAATTTTTACTTGATTTTTGGCGAGTGTAATGTGACTCTACAGGAGAAAATGCTTCAACGTGATCTATAACACTGTGAACGTTATCGGATGGATTATATGTTCATCCAAAGACCACGCTGATCTGATTTAATAAATCCATTACCTTTATCGGACTTTTCTAAATCTGTACAAGCAAAATTAAAAATAATAGAAATGGTTCTCAAGAACTTAGTTTTGCAAATAGATATTTTTGTCGACAATATTTTTCTCTTTTTTTTCCAGCTTTTACAGCATATCTTGCCAAAAAACCCATTGTCTTGAGTGGTCCAATAATCCAAAACATTCTGTTAATTTCTCACTGCATTTTGTCCCACAAGTTGAGGGGCAAGAAGTTTTCATAATTCTCGTAGCATGTACTTTTCCGTTTCTACTGACATATTCCAATCCTCTATTAAGCTTATATTTCCTCTCCTTATCCTTACATTTTTTATGAAAGCTCTTAGCCTTTCTTTATCTTTTTTCGCAATGGAAATGCGCTTTTGGCGTTATTGGACGGTGAGTATGTGATATCATTAATGTCGGAAATTAACAGGAGATGAGTCAAAAGAATTATACGGCGATGGTACTGGAGTAATATCACAATAATTTTCTATATTACTATTCTGGATGGGCGAATTACCTGGAGTGTTCTCTATGACTGATTGCGATCGATCTCAGTTATCAACATTCGATATCCAAGGCGAAGAGCAAAGAATATAATCTAGGAATAATATGTAAGGATTAGAAGGGATATTCTGCGATACTTCCTTGCTATCATTCTAATCAATATCATCAAGTATTAATAGCTCCTCTTCCATAAAATTTGCATCCGGTGGCAATGGAGACTCTAAAACAAACAACAATTAAAAACGCAAGAATTCATATTTTTATATTTAACGTGCCAATATCAAGGTATCAAATTTATAACTCATAAAAAAATATATTATACCACAATTAAAACAAATATATCAAAAATTTAATTAGTACATTATTATTGCCAGATAAGTCAAGTGTCTTTTTTATTAAGTTTGTTCGTTGTAAACAGGTGTAAATATAGTTGTATCAGTATACGACGTACTAAGCGACGTGTAACAATTATCAAACAAAAATGGCAAAATCACACTATATGTAACATAAATAAAGTATATCAATGTAACTTACCATATTCATCCCTGTTTCGCATTATATCACCGATTCCTGAGATATTGCTAATTGTATCATTCACCTTATTATTGAGAAAATTAAAAAAAAATTCGCGTCCTCGCCGTCATTTATCGTATACTGAGCCATAATAAACTTGTATCAATGCGTCCCTCCTCACGCCCCGCGAACACTGATACAACGTTATTTGGATCAGTATACAATGTACGATTTTAACTGATGTTGAAATTGATTTAGTATACGTGAAATTATCTCGGTAATTATAGGTCTTTTTAAAAAAAAAATAACACTAACATTAAGATCATGGTTTATTATGTACTTTTGTATAAAAAAACAAAATACCTAAATTTGTTAGATGACTCAGTATACTTAGGAGGTATCGATGTGATTGTTTTATCACGAATATATTATCATTTATAAGTATTAGTACCTGGAACTAGAAGATTGAAAAATAGTAGTACCCGTACGAGCAGCGATTGTTAAATGCGCACATTGACGGTACGACATCGGAACTGCGATCTCAGAGGTGCACGCACGCATGCCAAAAAATACCGTATTTGACAAACAGAAGTAGTACTTAGAGCTAAATATCGACTTACTTAGTTGTATGTGATTTCATATGACCTCTTAATGACACCGCACTCGGACAGTACTGGGTGCAAATGTGACATTTGAAATCGCCATTTTTCTGAAATGAAAATATTTTTTGTTCTACGAAATACCCTCTTATTTGCCATGAGTGTTTACAAAGGATCCTGAGATTCTTTGCGTGCTACGTCACGCAGAGGTGCCGATAACTTGTAGAAGCTATTGGTAACCGGCTTCCCGAAGACAGGGAGGAATAGAAGAAAATATGTCACCAACATGACCTTCAGTAATGAAGAATGCTACTAAAAATATAAATTGCAATGAAAAAAATCATAATTTCACCTGAAGTATAGACCAGATTCTATGTTTCATTAGTGGCATTTGGATGTTTGCTTGGAGTGCAGAAAATAGACTGAAAGAGGCAGTGGGTTTCTTTTTTATAGAACAGGGGGCAAACGGGCAGGAGGCTCACCCAGGGATGGATCCACTTAAGGGCTTTTTGGGCTGTAGCCCAGTGCCACGTGGATACAAAGAGCCCTTAATACCTACTAAAAACAATAGCCGATATTTTAAATTAAAAAAATATCTGAAATTAAACAAAATCCAATCATAAGGTTGGAATCTCTGAGATCAATCAACGCGCGTCTATCGAACGGAACGGGGAATTCCCCGTCACTCGTTTTCGGTTGTGTATTATTTCGCGTGTGCGTCTATTAAGGGGGACTTCCCCGTAATAGCCCAGAGGCCCTCAAATTCACGATCCGCTCATGGGCTCACCTTATGTTATTCTCAATGCCAGAGGGCGTTGCAGGCCTCTTAGGAATAGGTATCTAAAATCTAGCTCCCATAATGATATCACCAACACTTACAGAATACTGTACAGTAGAATGTAGATACTGTAAAATATTTCTACAATAATGTATGTTTTCATTTTTATGTTCAATAAATATCTTACCGGCGAATGTTTCTCCAAATGCGTACTTAATACATCTTCGAAATTAAAGTATTTGACGCATAATTCGCATTTGTATGGCGCGCCTTTGTATTTCTCAGTCTGTCTGTTTCTTTCCATTTCTTGTTGAACCTGATAAAGTTTAGTTGTTTACTTATATCCTAGGCATATATTCAAAATCAACAGTGGCGCTACAACCGTTCATAGACAAGTAGGTGATCATCATTCGGTCACGCAATTTTTGGAGATTATTGACCCCCCATCCATGTAACGCGCCGTAACGTTTTCTGTACCCAATAGTAAAACGTTTTGTGACCAGCCAGTGACTCTTTATAGCTAAAAGTTACCATTATGTGGTGTAAAGTACTGGAAAGTCGAAAATAATATTAACAATAACGCGTAATTCAATCCCCGCCCCGCATCGTAACGTTTTACAAAAGGACCCCCCTCCCAAAATTCGTTACGTAATACTTGAACGCTCCCTTTGTGAGTGATAGATGCGCAAATATTAAGTGGCTGAAAAGTTCGTAGACTGATACACAGATGTCGCTAGGAGTCGAAAGTTAATATGATTTTTAGTTAAGCTTAGGTTTCCTAGAAAAGCGGTGCCGTAATCTAACAGCCGTAATGTAGTGTTGGGTGACGTCACCCATACGTTGTCTATAAATAACTTCGGAGTAGGTTTGGTGCCGTCATAGCGGTGATAATTAGTTCAACGTTTTTCGGGTGTAGCGGTGCCCATATTTAATTAAAACAATGAGTGGAAACGTGACTTGGACGAGCGAAAATTATTGTTTTTTTTTGCATTATGTTAAAAAGTAAAGACGGCCGTTATTAACAACCGTAAAATGAAGGCCGTTAGTTAACGGCACCGCTTTTCTAGGAAACCTAAGCTTTACCCCTAACCTTGCTAAGACCCGTGTATAAATTTGACAACTGTCGTGTAGTTTGTGAGATATACTACTTTGAGTAAAGTAACTTTGAGTCTGTGAATGTGTTTATAAAAAATATATGGTAAGATATTACAAATTTTATACTAAAACACCATTGTTTTTATCGATCTGGACCGCTTCAAAGAAGGTTTAGATAATCATATAAATTTAAACGCATTTTAATCAAACGAATACGCATTTCTTATTCAATGCGTGAAGTTTTGGATAGTATTCCACAAATATGCAGTCTATGTGTGTTTGTCCCATGCCCCAAAGGAAATTACATACAGTACAGATACCGGCAAACTTCTTGAGCATTAAACAAGGGAGTGGGGGAACGTTTGCGCATCGTACACACAACGGTCACATGATTTACCAATAACGCGATCGACACGTCACTCTCCCGCCGCCGCGCACCAGCATCCCAGTGATACCTAAAAATCGCTAAAAGGCAAGGACATTTGTTCAAGATGTTTGCCGGTATCTGTAATATAAAAATACTCACTTGCTCCTTAGTCAATTTAATCACTGTATACTCATCGGTCTCCCGAACCATTCTAGATGTGAACCCCGCGGGAATTGAACCAACAACACTTTTCTTACTATTTTTACGGGATTTCTTGTCCTTTGTTTCCTTTAAATATATTGCAGATATCAGAAATCAAATTCAATTTTAGAATTCTTGTCAAACCCCAATCAAGGTATGTTTTAAATTATTAAAATAACTAATAAAATAAATTTATCTCAATATCAGGATAAAGATAAAAATAATTCTACCTTAACATCAATGGGGTCCTTATCGTTCAAATCTTTAAAATCTATGGCATTTTGGAAAACAACTATCTCCTCTTTGACACTTGGTGTGACATCATTATTAGCAAAATCCTAAAATAAATATTTTAGAAATATGGTAGAAATTAAATCCACATATAATTATTTTAAAAATATTAATAAAATTAAACTTATAAACATAAACTAATAATAATAAAATAATATACATTGAAATAAATAACGAAACTTAACATAAACTAAAATATATCATTAAAAGGAGTCCCTTTAGGCAAGGTTCCGAAGATACTGGCAGCGTTCCCCCTTTGAATTGCTAGACTAATTCTTTGTCCGAGGTAGCTGCCAGATCTTCGGTCTCCTGTGATGTCGACTAACCTTTTTGAAATTTCTTTAAAAAGCCTTAAAGCGCTAGGACCCCACGGACCAAGGGTCTCGACACCGAATGGGACAAAATCATATTCAGAGCCCAGACCCCTGTATTTGCCTGCTTTATTTTTTTCAGCCGCTTCACAAGCCGCACCAGCTCTGTAGTTGGTTCCATGTAGATGGGAAGGGGCCAGCGTGTCTGAACAGGTTGCATCCCATACCAGTACCCGACCCATCTTCCATGGAATCAAACTCATACCGTCCGGTCTCTTGCCATCGTCTCTTGCAATACCACTTGGCTCAAGAAGACTTGGCACGTTGACGGTGGCAAGGGAACGGCGTATGATATCGTTAAGTGCGGCATGTCTCGAGAAGCGGCCTGCACTTTTTTGGCATGACAGGCCGTGATGTCCTAACTTGTCGACATCACTGCCACAGGGACATATATGAGGAGCGCAGACCGGAACCCCAAGCCGTAGACAGGTTGCGATTCGAAGCGTGTCAGGCTCAAGAAAAGTTCCTGTATTTGACGATGGGTAAGCGTGAAGCCAGTAGCCGGCCTCATGCGTGCCCACGGCCAAAAGCCTAGCACGCGCCGAACCCGTACTACGACTCAAAAGATCGTCAAAAGTCAACTTGCAGTGTATGTCATCCCAGCTCCTCTGTGAATTTAGAGATAATGGAAAATTTTGACCTGGGCATGCAATCAAGAAAGCGTTTCTAGCTTCTTCCAAGCCAGCAATCTCAAAGTTTGAAGGGGATGCCCTTAAAATTTTACTTATGAGATTTGCTGAACTATGGACAGAAGATAGAAAGGCTGGTAAAGCGACACTGGAAATTTTGCGAATCCCTAAACCACCATAACGGATGGGTAGGGAAGCTTGGGTCCAAGATTTCTCGTTCAGCTGCATATTAAGAAGTGATTCTAAGCTAATTTTGATTAAGTCGTCTAATGGTGTTAAAATATCTGGGTGATTCCAAAAGGAGCAGCAACGGAGCACATACGTAAATTTTGGGAGGAAAAGACAGAATTTTAAGATGCAAAGTGCATAATGTGGACTAATTTCAAGGAGACGGTCAGCAGAATTTTGAAATTTAGTAATTGAAGTATGAATATAATCAGAAATAGATTCATTAAAAATTGGAGAACCTAAAAGGTAAAGGGAATTCCTGTTAACTATTTTAATATTTGGAGCCAAAATTTGAAATTTTTTTTACATCATTTAAATTTAAGTCGCAGTTATTTATGAAAAGTTCGCATTTGTTAAAATTAAGCTCCAAACCAATGGCTTCAAATTTATTTTTGATTAAAAGAAGGTCCGAAAACACAGTATCCACATCACCTCCTAGGGTTCCGTCGTCCAAATACCAAACATTGAAATTAGAATTTAAATTTTTGATTATGGGATTTACAGCCAAACTAAAAATTGCAGGCCCAAGGGGATCACCCTGTTGACAACCTACTTCCGAGGAAAGTTCATTAGAACGATATAACAATTTAGTTGGATCAGCGTAACTGAGAAGAAGATAATTGTATATTTCCGGTATATGTTGTTTTATTTCAGTCAGCAGGGTATCCCTATTTACCGAATTAAATGCATTTTTCACATCAATTTTGAGCAACACGTCTGGCTGTCCGTGACTTAGGAAAGAGCGTAGGGCATGGACGGCTGCCTCACACCCTCCTTTCACACCGAAGCCTAACTGTACAGGTTCAAATTCTGAATTTAATTTTGGTAAAATATGTCGAACAGCAATTTTGGAAGCCAGACGTCTTAGTGTTGAACCAACAGCAATTGGTCTCACCCCTCCGTCCTTTTTAGTGAGGGCAATGAGGTTCGCGCCGAAAAGAATTGGAACAATTTCTGTATTGACATCCCCGGAATACATAAAATTTATTAATTTTGTGATCGAGTTAAAAAACTTATTATCAAATGCTCAAATTAATTTTCAGCTTCAAGGGTCTGGTATAATTATTCCATTGTGTGACATTAGTATGTATCCTAAATCCATAACTATATTATTTAGATGATGTAAGCGATATTGCTTGCAAATAAAATATACATATATGAACTCACCTCATCAAAATAGGTCATTGTAAAATCTTCATCAATTTCATCTTTAATTGCTGATGAATCGCCAATGTAATCATATTTAATTTGTGATGTAGATAAGTTGTATACATGTTCAACATTAGGAAGATTACTCTAAAAAAAATTCATATAAATAATATTAAATCTATGTTTTTAAATCAACTTATTTATGAAATGTTATAAACAGACAATATAGACTTGATTTATTAAATACAATGAATAGGATCTCCAGGAAAATTACCAGGGAAATCAAATTAATGTAACAAAATATTTATAATTTATTTTTTTCTTACCTCTACTGTAGAACATTGTAAATATTCTTGTGCTAGTTGACATTGCTTCAAAAAATTGCTTATTTTTCGTAGCATGTGATAACAAAGAAAGCAGATACATAATTTTATTTCTTCCGTCTAAAAGAAAGCATTAAAATAAAAAAAACTGAAAGTATGTTTATCATAAAAAATATTGAGTTATATTTATAAAACAATCACAGTTTTTACCCAAACACCTATTTGGTTTGAAGTCATATAAGGCTGATCACCTGTGTGCCTTTAAATAAACATAATAGCTCCTTGGTTTATGGCTTAACATGGTAGTATTATTTCGAATCAGTTAAGTAAACAAAATACAAATGATTAAATTCATTTTAAACTTGCTGTACATGAGCAGCTTATAGAAAACGTACTGAACTTTGAGTCACCCAATTTAACCTGACAATGTTTTTATCTGAAGACCCGTTATTGTAATACCTATTAATTTAATATTGTAAAGAGACTAAGAAGAATTGAGGGGTTGATTACTCTTTATATGTGTAAGTATTAGTTACCGTTAACAACAAAGTTTTAAAAATATTTTCGTCTTCTTTGGGCACAGGTTTTAGGTATTCGCTTCTTTGCAGACATGTTTGACAAAGACCTGTAGCTTGCTCCATAATACTTTTTAGGGGTAGAATATCAATCATATACTACTATATTCATACTAGTAAGTTCATAGTTGCGGGCAAATAACATTACCGCTTAATTAGAAATTACGATACCTAATGAGATACCTATGTTTTGTTTATTTACATAACAATGAAAACTAACGCCTGCTCTATAACGTGACAGTGACAAATGACAACTACTGAAGTACTGAACACATTTAAAAAAAAATTAAATCACCACATATTGACTTTTGAGTTTGAAGGTCTTTTGGTTCTTTGAAGTTCAATATTAATCATTTTGTTTTTTCCTTTCTCAAACTGCAACTTATTTACTTTTGGGCTTTAATTTATTTCTTTGTTAGTTTTTAATGGTTTTTTTCTGTCCATAGGTACTACGTTGATTCTGTGATTAACGGATTTTAGCTTTATTGTTATTCTTTGAAAACATTAGTCAACTGTCATTAATATTAAAAATCAAAACCGAAAGAAAAGTAAACAAACAATTAATACTTTATACGTTGTATGGGACCGTTGCAGTTATTTCCATAACTACGAATTATTAAGAATTTATTGAATCAATTTTAAAATAAAGTAATGTTTAAACCTAAGAGTTCAGCGCTAAAAGGTATTTTTAACATAGGAATTACTTTTTCTCCCTTATCCCAATAAAAGTAATAGCTCTTTTTATACTGTTTATAAAAAACAAAACTTGAAACAGCTGATTCTAATAATTACTATTTGTTACTTTTCAGTTTTGGAATATCTGATAAATTAGGTAAAACAATGAGTGATCAACCAGTATTCATAGATGTTTCCACTGGTATTTATGATACATTAGATACGAATAATGAAATAAAAATTAAGGAAGAAGTTAATTTTGCCAGGTGACTGTGACATACTTATTTCTTTAGTTACAAACGGGAGAATCCCCTCATATTATGAGGAACTTGTTTAATACTAGTAAAGTATTCTTATACTTTAACTACAACAATATTATATCCAAATTTGGGAGTAAGTGCTAGGCCAGATTAGTCATAAATTTTGTTTTATATTACGGTAATTACTAATTGTGTTATAGAATGTTAACGGACTACTGCTTTAATTTATATATATATATATATATTTCACTAACTTTTTTTTATTTATTGGTAGTCACCATTAACATGTTATAATTATATGTATATATATAACATGAGCTATGTTCAAATTGCATATATTTTGTCATTTGAACCACTAAGTTTACAAGCAAAAAAACTAGTCAAACTGTACAGTGTACCTATTATTAATATAAAAAAATAATCTTTGAAACATTATTTCAGCCCTAAACCTGAGATTGACGACTTACTAACAGTCAAAAGTAATAAATTTAAATGTCCAGAATGTAACTATTTATCTAGAAAACAGGAATTAGTAGACAGACATATACTAAAGGTGCATAGAGGAGAAAATCCATTTCAGTGTTTCATGTGTGATTATACAACATCTAATAAAGGTAAGTTTGCTCTGCCCTTACATCATACCAAAATATCTGTATCTGTTGATAAGCAATATTTCAAAGGTTTTGTCAAAGAGTATTAACACTGTGATTAAAATTCAAAACAGAGATAAGTAGTTGAAATGAGGTAATTAGACATATTTATTTTGAAGTGAAACTTCTTTAGTTATATGAGGGTATTTTTTTTACGGATGAAACGTCACAAAGATGTGCAGCGTTTTTGTCGAAGAAAAGGGAGAGAGCTATTCAGACCGATTGAGAGAGAGTAAGAAGGGTGAATTACCTTATAGATATTCTATTTTTAAAATTAAATTTTCGTAACGAGAATTTATGAAATTTGAAATTTTATATCTTGAGCAAAATAATTTATTGAAATCTCAAATGACGAATTGTAAATTTAAATGTTACGTGTTTTTTTAATATAAAAGAAATAAATTTTAAAAAATTAAAAATATTTTTAATTTATTATTTGTATTAATTTTCGAAAGTTTTAATATTTTAATGACAATTAAATTCCTAACATATCTTCCTTTTTCACTCCCTCTAAGTCTCGGAAATCTAAAGTTTTATTGATTTGTATAAATATGAACAAGAGTTAAAAATTAGTTTGCCAAAGAAGTTTCACTTCTGACATGTGTACTTTGTACTCGTTCTTTTTTTTATTTTATATCGGGATATACATAAGCTTACATTTAGTTCCAAAACTTTAAGAATCAAGATACTGCTCATATTTATGTTTATTTATTTAAAATATGCCATAGACTATATAATCTTCCGCAATAGAAAGTATAAATTGTAGTTTTAACTGTAAATTAAACAAATCATCTTAAGTGATTTTAATATATTACTAAAAACTAATAAAATAATAATAATAAACATATATTATTAATTCTATTAGAAGTTGTTACATAAAATAAATATTTAAAAGTTTCATCATACTCGTGGTGCTACTTGTGGTGACTGGTCGTACTTGAATAATTTGTGTATGCGGTGATGTTAGTTATTTCGACTATGTATTTGTGTGTTGTTCCCACGAGAATGTAAGTGAATGCTCCTACTTCACCATGCCTCCTGCTGATAGAGGACAAGTCTTTGTTTTTAATTTATTTTATTATTATTCATTATTTAAGATGTCATGTGGAAGTGCAACATGGTGTAATGGTTGCAGCTCCTTACAAACAAGGAAACAAAGAGTTTATTGCCCGTTCTTCTCTTCAGTTCTTGATTTGAGAACTGGCAGTAAATGTAAAATTAAAAGCATTTAATGTGTATTTCTTTTTTGACGTTCATATGTGTACATTGTGTTACCTGTATGATTTTGACTTTTTTAATTTCATTTTTCAGGAAATTTTGCAGAACACATCCGCAGACATGAAGGCAAAAAGCCCTTTAAATGCTCATACTGTCCCCACAGAAATGTCTCCAAGAAAAACCTAAAGAAACATGAATTAATACATCGTCCAGACAATCCTTTGAAATGTCCCCATTGCGATTACATTTCCAAACATCAAAGAGAATTCGGATCGCACACTAGAAAATTCCATTCCACGCAAAATGGTGTTTTGACATGTGTCAAATGTCAGACAACGTTTGATGACCAGGACAGCTTGACAGATCACGTCAAGTCGCAACTGACATGTGAGAAGTGTACATTTGTGGCGTGCGATGTTGGCATTTTAGAAAAGCATTTGGTTAATCATAGACAGAAGAGGATTGAGAAAAAGAAAAGTTTATGGACTTGTAGTATCTGTAGTTGGTCATCTTGCAAACATCCTAAAATATTGTTGCATCTTATACATCACCCTAATCAAGAAGTGAATGGTATTGATATAAGTATTTTGCAGAAACATGGTATTATGTAATACCGAAAACACTATATAAATAAGACAGTATTAAATGCCATGCAACTTCTTCAATACAAAGAGTCCCCGTAACTTGCGTGCTGCGATATTGCGGGGTATTCGAGTGTCAGGAAGTTTGATTCGGTCTGGCGCCTTCTTAAGTTCTCATTTTTACATGTGTATATCCTTTCTATAACATATATAAGTATCTGATTGTCATAGTAACATGTGTGATGTTTGAGTGCAAAAATAAAATACAATAAATATAAAATAATATCAGTAATTATTTTCATTTTGTCCTAGACAATCCTAGTGTTGTGGATAACCAGCCTCTTTCTAGGCCTTAACGATAGTTTTGTTAAGTATTATCTTATTATTAAAATTATATATTATTATTATAATTGTATTGTTAGCGGACTAACGCCATTTTGTAGCAGAAACCTATATAAAGCGTGGCAACACCGGCGTTGACTCACTTTTATTTCGAGACTTCGTGCGGAACGGACTTGTGACTAACCTAACCTCAGTAGATTTTAAAAGTCTGGAGTACCTACACGTTCTAATCTTTTGTGTTTCCTAATAGTATATTATTATTATCTAATATATAAAATTCTCGTGTCGCGGTGTTTGTAGTTAAACTCCTCCGAAACGGCTTGACCGATTCTCATAAAATTTTGTGTGCATATTGGGTATGTCTGAGAATCGGACAACATCTAGAATTCATCCCCCTAAATGTTTTTAATTTTTAGATTATTTTTTTATGATGCAGCATTAAAAAATAAATTCAAATCCTAATTTTCACCCCTCTACGATCAACCCTATTTTATTTTATAAATGATATACATGGCAAAACGACGTTTCCCAGGTCAGCTAGTATTTATATACAAGAATCTAAATATAATTCGAACAATGTATATTCGTGTCTTCGTTGAGTTCCACCTATGTCCACGGAGCGCTTTATAAGTTTTTCATAGCAAAACGTATCGTTTATTTTCTTGTTTTAATCTACATTAATAGAACCTTGTGTGTCGATAAGAGTAGAGAGAGAGGGTCGCTGCATTTTTTTTGTTGACAGTACTTCATTAAATTTAAAATGGTGTCGTAATATTGGGACTAAAATATAATTTCTGAAGTGAAACTTCTTTAGGCGCATGAGGGTAATGTTTTTACGGATGAAACGTCACGAAGATGTGCAGCGTTTTTGTCGAAGAAAAGGGAGATACCGATTAAGAGAGAGTGAGAAGGGCGAATTACCTTATACAATTTCTATTTTTAAAATTAAAATAAATTTCGTAAAGAAAATTTATGAAATATTAGTAATTTATATTTTATGCAGAATAATTTATTGAAATCTTAAATGACGAATTGTAAATTAAAATGCCACGTGTTTTTATTATCGAAGAAATAAATTTAAAAAAAAATATTTTTGTACCAATTTTCGACACTTTTAATATTTTAATGACAATTAACTTCATTAAATTCCTAACATATCTTTTTTTTCCCTCCCTCTATAGTACGGGAGGTAGCAACGTTTTCGAGAAAGAATTTCAGGTCAGCTGATTTTGTGATATGTCTTCCTTCTTGCACTTTCGGTTAGAGTCTTGGCTATCTGGCTGGCGGTAGCGGTTGCGTTCATTAGTGCGCATCCTATCTGTCCAGGTAATAATCCTGGATTTTAAAAGCATTTTAAGAAGCGTAATTATTAATTTTTCGTTTTTAAATAAGTCTACCTGACATACTTTTTTTATTGCCAGACATTTTTCACATTGCTAACTATGTGCCAGACACGATTTTAAGTTTTTTTTATATAAAAATTTCAAAGTATTTTAGAATGTCTGTAATTTTAATATTATGTTATTAAATATAAGAAAAACTAAAAATGAATTTGCCAGACATTAATTCGATTGTTAAGCCTTGAATTAAAATGAAAAAGTATTGCAGTATGATGAAGCATTGCATTTTAAGAAGCGTAATTTTAAATTTTTAGTTTTTAAATAAGTCTACCTGACATACTTTTTTTATTGCCAGACATTTTTCAAATTGCTAACTATGTGCCAGACGCAATTTTAAGTTTTTTTTTTATAAAAATTTCAAAGTATTTTAGAATGTCTGTAATTTTAATATTATGTTATTTAAATATAAGAAAAACTAAAAATTAATTTGCCAGACATTAATTCGATTGTTAAGCCTTGAATTAAAATTATTTATTATAAATATTTTTTTTTATTAATTACGCTCCTTAAAATGCTTTTAAAATCCAGGATTATTACCTGGACAGATAGGATGCGCACTTATGAACGCAACCGCTACCGCCAGCCAGATAGCCAAGACTCTAACCGAAAGTGCAAGAAGGAAGACATATCACAAAATCAGCTGACCTAAAATTCTTTCTTTTCAAACGTTGCTACTTCCCGTACTACTAAGGGTCTGTTCCACAATGTATGGATAGAGTACCAAATAGCTATACAACACATAAATTATTTGGAAGATAAATTGTGCTATTTGACATTCATCGGACTCATAACTTATGATGGACTTTAGGTGACTAATAGCGCTATCTGACAGTCGTGAAACGCAACAATAGTGTTTATCCTAACAATAAGTAATAAATAGCTAATTTGGAACTTATGTAGAACTTATCCGGTGAAACAGACCCTAAGTCTCGGAAATCAAAGTTTTAGATTTGTATAAATATGAACAAGAGTTAAAAATTCGTTTGCCAAAGAAGTTTCACTTCTGACATGTGTACTTTGTACACACGTTTTTTTGTGAATAAATGAACAATGCGTAACTGCATTATATTATAAATCACTGCCAAAGAATAAGCCAACGATATTTATAGAAATCTCTCATTTCCATTACTTAATATAAACTAATCTTTATTTTTGACTAACATAGACTTATAATGTACACAAAACATAGTTTTTTAATATATCTTAATGATTCAAAGTAATTAAAATGCACTAGGGGGTAATTCAATTAATAATCTTGCATATAAAATTTTAATCTTAAATTATCCGTGGCCGGGTATTCGTTCGTGAGGCTCCATAATATGGCTGTATCTGTGGACAATTATGAATTCATTATTTTTTATTGACCCGTAGGTAAGTCTACTGTGATACACTGTTGAGTCATGTCGTGCACATTTCCTCACGATATGCGCGTATAGAAAAAAAAGGGTGCGTGTACTTATGTACGCGCGTAAGAAGTTATACTTCTTTGGCTTTCTTTATTTTTTTTAATATAATTAATTAATATTTAACGTAAACAATTTAATAATATTTAATATTTGGTATATTATTCAATTATTAATTAATATTAATAACAATTATTATTATTATTTATTATTTTATTGTATTATTCATACAATTTAATAACTTGGTATGTTTCATAACCTTTTAACTAAGTAACAATAGGTCTTTGTGAAAAAACATTGCTAAATTTCTTCCTTTATTTGTTTAAAAGGTAAGTAAATGTCATTATGGTCATTCAAAATTCTTGGCATAGCTGCTAACTTCACGCATATTCTATTTCTTTTTACTTGTAGATTATGTGCGTTTTCCAATTACAGAGCATTTTCCGACTCAGTGCCGCACAATGCCGCATAATGCTGAAGCTTAATTGGAACGTGAATTAGTTTTCAAATGCATCAGCAGAGTGCGCTAAGTCAGTGTTGACAAAAAAATGGTCTGAATAGAGTTAGCAACCTCATTAATGTATATATATAATGTGGTAAACAATAATAATTGGTTGAAAACTTTTTACGCTTAATTTAATAATCAAATCATTTCATTAAACTTTTTTTACTGAAATAAGAGAAAACCTTTAAAGACTATAAGGTTTTAACAAGCTAAATTAACAGTAAAATATTTAGTTTCATGTAAGAAGTTTACATCATTTACGTTTTGAGTAATATTTTTTAATGATTTCTAAAAAAATATATACTTTTTCAAAACCATTGCAATTTTTTCTAAAGTATAATCCTGTAAAGTAAATTTGTTTACAGATCCGAATTTTAAAATAAAATTGTATTCATATTTTAAATGTGGAATATAAAAAAAGTAACTATTTATACCTTCATCCATACTAATATTTATTTTTTTGAAATAACTTTAATTATTTTCAAAATCTACGACGAAACGAAAGCCTTACAAATTTTTCAACAATAAATAATGTTTACTAACGAAAATTTCGATAAATGCCAACTTAAAGAAAAATACTGGTCAATTTTCTGTCACTGTGTTGGTATTGTTTGCGAGAGCATTCGTTTTGAGAGTGCTCAATTGTGCGAAGCGTTGCTGTAGTTGGAACACTCAACGTTGAGCATTAGGCTATGTTCACATGTAACGCGCGTTAACGCGCGTCAACGCGCGATCAAATTTGAAGAGCGTTCAGATGATGAGCGCTAACGCGCGTTGCGAGAGTACTCGTCAGTCTAGTTCGGTAGAACGTAGAAAATGGACGTGGAAGAGGCTATTATTTTGTGGTTATATTATAAAGAAAAATATAGAAAAAGAAAACGTACACATTGGGTTCATCCAATTTTGAAAAAAAAATACAAATTATATTATATTTTTTATACAAATTTGCTATATTCCAACTTGCTGGCCTTTTTTCTACTTCATCGATTAGTAAGTCGATGTCAATATCTTCAATTTCACTCATTTTAAATGCGAGAACAAAATATAATTACGAAAATTAACAAAATTACATGCGATCGCGATGAAAGCGCGCGCTCATCTGAACAGCAAACGGACATTACATTAATATCAAAGCGCGCGTCAACGCGCGATCACCTGCGTCTAGAGACTTTTTCTCTGAGCGCCGCGTTGACGCGCGTTAACGCGCGTTGACGCGCGCTCATGTGAACAGTTGTATGAAAATACCACAATGTCTAGTCGCGCGATTTGAAAACGCGCGTCAAGTTTTTGCCATCTGAACATAGCCTTATGCCGCAAAATGAGCTCTAGTGCGGTAATTGGAAAACGCACTGTCTTATTCACATCTCGCTCGCGCACGCT